CTATACCGAATTTCCACTGGCACCACAGGGTATCTGTGAACATCCCCATGCACACATATAATGTCCACACACCCCGCCTCCAACAATGCCCCGGGTCGAACCAGGCTCTGGTGAACCATGGACTGGGTACAGCCCGAATCCACCATCGCCTGATGTGTACCCCCCTGAATCCTTACCGGAACACTGTACGTCCCTCTTGGACCGGGGGAGGGTGCTGGAGGGCCGACCACCCGGATCACCTGGCCCACCTCCATCAGTGGGCACTCCCGGCGAAAGTGACCGGGCCGTCCACACCTCCAGCACGCCAGCCCTGCCGCCTGAGGAACCCCCTGTGGGTGGGGAGCAGCGCCCGTAGCGGCCGGGACCTGGACCTGGGGGGGAGCAGAGCAACGCGCACGGGGGGCAGGAAGGGGACGAGCAGTCGTGGGGGCCCCCGGACTGGGTGCGGGTGCAAACCTCCGTCTGGGTGCCGGCGTTGGCAGGGCTGACGGCTCGCCACCTGGCGACTGACGTGGAGAAACCACCGCCAGGTGGTCTTCTGCCAGGGTGATAGCCGCCGCCAGATCCGCCGGACGGTGGCACCGCACCCAGTCCGATGTTGCAGCCGGGAGCCCCGCCACGAACTGCTCCTGGACCACCGCCTCCACCAGCCGCTGCTCCTCTGCAGCCTCGCCAGGCTGCAGCCAGCGGGTCGCCGCGTCCCGCAGCTTCTGGGCATAAGCGAAGGGCCGGTCCTCCGGTCCCAGCTGGGCCCCCCGGAACCGGCGCCGATGGTCCTCCGCCGACAGCCCCAGCCGATCCAGGACGGCTCTCTTCACCTCCCAGAACCGCCCTCGGGAGGAGGCCGGCAGACTCAGCGCCGCCGTCTGGGCCACTCCTGACAGGAGGGGAAGCAGCCTCACCGCCCACTCCTCCTCCGGCCACCCGCACGCCGTCGCCGTGGCCTCGAACGTCCCCAGGAATGACTGCGGGTCGTCCTGTTCGGTCATCCGGTGTAGCTGTATCCCGGCCAACGCCGGGCCCCTCGGCGGAGCCGCCGTCCGCTCCACCACCGCCTCTAGCAGAACCGTCCGCCGCTCCGCCCGCGCCTGCAGCGCCCCCAGCTGCTGCTGGCTCAGGGCAGCCTGGTCCCGGCCCATCGCGGCCATCTCCGCCACGATCTGGGCCAGCATCCGTAGTGGTTGCTCCTGTTCAGACATGTTGGCCTCTGCCCTCCTGTCAGACCACGTTGGGAGCCAAATTGTGGCAGTCGTGCCACCGTGGGTGCCTGACAGAGTCTCTTGAGACCAGGATTGGTTGCTGCAAAGGTTTATTTGAGTGTGTGTGCCACGCACACACACTCTCTCACACACGCACACACTCACGCCCGCCCGGCTAGGGCTCTTTCTGGTTCCACGTGTGTTGCCCGTTGTGGTCCTGGCTGGTCGCTTGTCTCCTTCAAAACCAGTCCCCCCCAGGTCCAGCACACTACTCTTTTTACAGAGGGGAGAGTGATTAGTCAACCGGTTCCAGGTGTGCCTAATCATCTCCCCTGGCACTGCTCACCTGAGCCTTCTCCACCCCTCCCCCCTGCAGCTGAGCGCCACGCCCCCTCCACAGGGTGAAAATACAAAATAATTTGGACTAATGAAAGAGTCCAATTTATTTTAAATCGCACCTGAAAGTTAGAAATAAATCGATTCTCTGAGCCACTTACAATAGATAAATTGCTAAATTAATTGGTACCCGTCTAAAAAAGTAATTTCTCATGTAGATGGGCTTCATGTCTTAGAAAATAAGGCACAGATTGGATATTCACCTCATTGATGCTGCCACCTTTTGGATTTCTGGTAGTACTACAACTTTTGTAAAAGCAACTAAGAACCAAATGACAGGGATATCTGGGATTCTGACCCTGATCTGTCTTGTCTTATTGTTTCCCTATTTTTTTTCCAGAGTATGACATGAGTTCTCTGGCATAATATCAGATTTCTTAAGACAGCAAGCTTTTTCCCAGAAACTGTTGAAATGTTAGACTATGTTGGCCGAAGAAAAATCAAAATGAAATAAAAAAGCTGGGTTACGCCTTGAATTAGTTAACATGGCCAATGTTAACGAATTCAGTTATTAGTTATTATGCAATAACTAATCGATAACTGTCAAAAGTGCTCTGGTTTATTCTCCCCAGCCCATTAAATGATGATGCGTAAACGGAGCCGACTCACTGGAGCAGACTCTTTTTTCACAGGAGACTCTGTGACTTATCACAGCGGCTGCTGCTAACTTTAATTTGATATCCTACTGAGCCTCGACGGGGGACCGTCATGCACGGGAGCCGGACCTTATCTCAGTGGATTACAGCCATCATAACTCAGAAGGGGGAAGTTCTTGAGAATAAAGGACAACGTTGTTGTTTCTACGTGGGACAAAAACACCTGCTTGCAGACTGATAAAGAGACAGGATTTACACGTTATAATGAACTGACATCCCATTGAAATGGGGGAATTTAGAAGGGTGCTTTATGATATCTCAGACAGCAGCACCTTAAGTTGTCATAAAACTTAGTTTCTGAGTGGCACTTATAATTTAAAGTAAAGTGCGTTCTATGTTTCAGTCATGGCTTTCAAACTTTAGCAGAAGAATGAATAGAAACTGCCAGCAATGTCAGTGAAATCCTCCAGGAAGTCTCACACAAAACACTTTTCCAAAAGCCCCCCTATGTTACTGAACAATGGGCAAAAGTACTCGGAGTAGCTTTCAGGACCTCGTTTCTGTCAATGAAAAATTGCAAGCAAGTGCAAAGAAGGTTTCGAATTAAATTGTCTTTCCTCAGGAAATGAATGTCCATCAGAAGGTTCTTTTCATCAAAGGTTACTTCCCACATGTGTCAGGAACTCGGATTTGGAGCATCTGTCCTCGTTTCTAAGATTCTGCATGGATTCGGACCTTTTCCTGGGTAAGAGAATTACTGTTTTCACCAAGATTTAAAGGTTTCTCAGAGGATCTGTGCCCCCCACATGTAGATGCGTCTCTGAGCTGTCAGTTGTTATAAAAAGCTGCATATATTTCTGTGCTGAAATGAACAGTTTTGGAGTTTAATTTATGGGTCATGGACATCATTTCAAGTTTTTTGGGGGGGTTGTTACATTAGCATCACAGTTATGGAAATCCAAAAGGGAAAAAAAGGATTGAGGTGGCTATTGGAAGTGGAAATGTGTCCTTCAAATGTTGTGAGTTGTTTTTTTCTTCATATTTTGTTGTAGTTTCAGATTTTTCGGATACTATTTGACCCGTGTGAGGTTACACCTCCCCGGAACATTCTCCAGATTCGACAGAAAAGGGATCACATGTTTGTGCTGGGCTGAATACTGGTTTGTGCAGCAAAAATTGTTACTTTTCTGCATCATGTTTTTTGAAATAGCAAAATTTGTACATCCAAAAGTAGGATATTCTTCAGTTTGTTAACCCGGTGGCGTTACCTACCTATTAATGATATTTATACTGTAATATATTCCAAATTATTTTGGGATAACTGACAGCCCGAAAATATTGAAACTATTTTTTTTAATTGGCAAGAGGTCTTGTTTACCTTTGAAGACCTACCGTTAAACTTTTATTTATTTATATGTTAATATATCATAATTATGACTTAGCTATCTATAATAATGAGATATTCTCTGCCAGTTATGAAATACTATATCATAATAATGAGATAGCAAAGTCATAATTATGAGAGACAACTTTTTTTGTTTTCTATCTCCTTTTCTGTGTGGTTTCTTTGTATTTGCTCTCCCTCTTTCCCTGTCCTCCTGTCAGGCGTGGCATTATTTACGTACAAAAGTATGCTGAATTTTATTGTATTGTAAAGATACATTAAAAACAGCAGTTTTGACAAATAAAAGGGGGGCTTTTCATCCACAAGGCTTCCCTCAGCAAAACAAATTTGTTTGGCACAATGCGGTCTTCAGATTACCTTACCTGTCATAATCCTGAACAAGACATGGTTAAAAAAAGAATATACAATAGTCCATCAGTCAGCTATGAGTTCATCCAATCCCTCTGCTTTGGTTTGGCCAGGGATACATGTGGATAAGAAAAACAAACACGGAAAAATTATTTCTTTAAAACTGCTGTGCTGGTGGTGTCGGACCACCTCACAGCAGTTCCAAAGTTCCAAAACAAAGTAGATTTAGACCGTTTCTCAAATGGAGTGTGTGAACACCTCCTCTCAAAATCTTTGTAAGACCTCAGAGTTCTCCATGAAACGTAACCTTTTTTCCCAAAAGTGTTAACTAAAAGTATGGCACAGATGTTGTATGATCATATATTTCTGAGTATGATCTGAGTTACATTACTTTTTTACCTTTCAAGTGATGGTATCTTAGTGAAGTCAGCAAGCATCCCTATACAATGGGAAGAAAAGCCATCAGCCTTTAAAAAATGAGTTTCAAAAGCTCAAAAAACTTAAAAGGACATTTTAAATGTTATAACTACTGTTTCACGTGCCAGAAAAGAACACAATAAGTATTTCAAATTCTTGATTGTTAAAGAACAAAACATATTAACACTATCAAAAGTTAATTTTGGCCAATGAAGGGTGAGAATGATTCAAACAGGAGTTTTATCTGTCTGATTAATAAAGATTCCAAAAAACATTTGGGCCACTGCACAGCTTTGGAACTGTTTTCTTTAAAGTCACTATATAATCTCAGTATGGTGTCACCCAAACAAAAACGTTATCGTTTTAAACGGAATCATTCATTTTTAAGCAATGGCCTAACTCTCACCTTCATGTTTTTCAATGAGATTGATTCATTTGTCCAATTTAGATCTAAAGTAGAAAAATAAATCAAATGGAAAGTGTTTACATTGAGACGTATTTAACGGACCGTTATATGAATAAAATACATTTGGACTGTGTTATGAGGAAAGCGGGACCTTTAACGCACCCCAGCGAAGAGTGGCGGAAATACACTTATATTTTAAAACGAAGAAGAAGAAGAGGCGAAACGAAAAGCAAAAATAAATAAATAAATAAAAATACACGTCGGCACAACGCGTACCACTTCGGTGCTGCTCACAGTCTTGAGTCGGTGAAATGAATTTATCTCTTAAATAGCCGAGCAACGGATTAACATAATTTATTTTCAACTATGGTTGCGACCGACTTTGCCATGGCGCCATAACGAGCAAGGTCAGTACACAGCCTCTACTCCGTAAGGCTTCGTTTGCATACATATGAAGTAGTAGGTGTACAGCTGTATCTCGCTACTATGACAGCAATAGAAAATCTTCAACATTTTAATTTACACGTTTTTTGTTGTTGCCACTTCTTCCAAACGGTGTCTTTAATCGCTGTTCTTTATTTTTCATGCCCAATTAAGTCGTTTATTCGACTCGAGTGTGTGTTCCGATTCACATACAGATTTTTTGGGGTATTTCTTCACACCCCTGTCATTAAAAAAAAAAGAAAAAACTTTATTGCCTCCAATGTACATTGACAGACAACAACATACGAGAAGAGAAAAAAAAAGAAGAGATTGGGTTTCAGCTGTTACGCAGAGATGAAGTGTCAGAGCTCATTTCGCTTAGTCATCATCTTTTACTGCATGAAGTTTCTGTTCCCATTTTTGTGTGTCTCCGAGTATATTTTCCGTCTTATCCAGCCTTAGTTTTCTTACTGTCGAGGAGCAGTGTTTTAAACGGATATATGAAATGGTTTTCCATATATGTAGGTTCCTTTCATGTCTGTCTAAACTTAAAGAAGAAACTTGTTTCTTAGGTTTTAGAAAAAGGATCCATTTTATCCATGTTAGGATAAAACATTGCTTTGCATTGCTTCTTGTGTTCGGACTTAAGAGTTCATTTCTGCACCTGATTTTCCTGTTTTTTGTTCCCAGAACATAAACATAAGAAAACAAAGAAGTGAAAGATGAGTTTCCTGCACAGGTAAGTAAAAATACTGGTATTGTATTGGTGCCATATAAAATTACATGTTTCAATTCTTCAAGAAAACATTTTTACCCAAAATTTTCACATTGTCTCTGTATAAATTGGACTAATTTGGTTGAACTATGACGGTGTAACAATGAAGCGAGTACTTTTTTGTCTTGAATTGGTTCGTATGTTTTCAGTGGAATAAAACTTGATTGGATTAATGAATTAATCTTTTTTTTTTTGCCTCTTACAATATGATCCCCCAGAGTCGGTCATGACTTTGTCTTCTCGGGACGGAGAGCCAAACTGCTCCCGTTATGCTGGTGGAAGAGGCGCCTGGATCTTTTTGTCTCCCCAGTGACTGGCTCTTTCTGCAAAACTTTCAGCTCTGCTCCTTCACAACCAGGTTCAGAACATAATTAAAAAAAAAAGTATATATACAAAAAGCTACATTGAGTACATTATTGATCTGTTCAACTGCACTTGGCTAATTTCTTGAAAAAACAGAAAATTCATTTTCATGTTTCTGTTATATATAAATGCTAAAAAATGTTTTATTAATCTTTTATTACAGACCCAATAGAAATCCACAAGAAGAAGCTTTTACTGTGGTTCAGCCATATTCCTTTGGAAGAGAAACAGTTTGGCAACCATTTTAACCCAGATGCCACTTATGTGAATCCCCTTATCCTCCAAAGAAAGTACGAGGAAAGAGCAGGACTGCTCAGCTCGCCTTTCAAAACCGAGACCCCTTCCAACCCTCCCGTGACTGTGGAGCAGCTTTTCGAACCTGTCGGCACCCGGAAGGAAGGCCAAGGGCTGAACGTGCTCCTGTACGGGGCCGTGGGAACCGGGAAGAGCACGGTTGTCCGGAAGCTGGTGATGAACTGGTGCACTGGAACGGCGCTGACGCACTTCAAGCTTCTGCTGCCTTTTTCTTGTGAAGACCTCTGCCAACTGTCAAAGTGAGAGCTTGTTATTTGGTCTTAGATCAAGAATCCAGAGTTCCATCCATATACATGGTTATGTGCACAGTAATAGAGGTGGTTGCACAGTAAAAATAATCTAGGGCCTTTTCACACAAGGTTTTGTAGTTCAGATTTTGACCTGTAAATGAATGGAGACAATTTACAGGTTAATTCGTATAGAACCATTTGTTTACAAGATAATTCAAAGTGCCTTACATAAAGTTTAAAAGCAGGAATTTAAGCCATAGATTAGAAGTGAAGAGTGCTGATAAAATACTTTCATTTGTCATATGGACACCAAATAAAAAGAAATGCTGCAAGAGCATTTACTTGTAATCACGCTGATTAGATTTAGAAAGCTGGACGTTGCTGCAAACTGCATTTAATGTCGACTTGCTCCGCTGTATCGATTGGTCATAGCAACAGAGCAATCCAGGATGGCAGCTATGGTTGCTTAGCGCTGGCTTCGACATCCCAGACAGACGCACGCAATTCATCATTTTAGCGAATTATATTGTTCCCTAAAAGTGGCTCCAGGTAGAAAATTCATTGTTTTCGTTATAATCTGTATGTCGGCTATTGTGGGTGCCAGTCACGGTCCAGAAAATCCAGTTGATCCCTAAAAACATGTTCTCTCCTGATTGTCAAGCATGAATAACACTGCTTTTTTTTAATGCTTGCGATAAAGCTCACGATTCAAGTTTGACGTGGAGGGACATTAAATGTCACATGGTGGCTTTAGTTTCCGCTGTCAAGTTTTTCTTTATAGACCACAAAGTACAACTGGAAAGTGGTGCGCACTAATTCTGGGGCCCATTTTGTACGTACGCAGTATTTATTAATGAGACCCCTGTTTACTTAGAATTATATCGGTTATACGAGGTTGTGGTCTGTCTGTAAATTTACATTTTGTATCCGTTTGACCTTTATTCCAGTGTGAACTGTTAAACCCAATGTAGGTTGATAGAAATTGTATTTATATTTTACAATATAGAATGTAAATAACCATTATCTTCCAGCAGGAAAATACATGTACGTGTCATGATATAATCATGGTAGAAATATAAGACAAACCGCAAGTTTTAGGCTTTTATGGTTTTTGGTTTATTTTGAAGTTATTGTCGTTCCTTGGGATAGCCAAGTATAAGATTTCTGCCTCTGGTACCCCAGTGTTCGTATTTAATGTGACTGATATCTTCCTCATAGGGTGGCTTCTCTACGAGATCTGGTGAGCAGGAAATATTTCCATCTGAGCAAACATCCACTACTTAGTGGTGACGGAGATCAGGCCAAACAAGTCCTGTTCTTGTTCAACGGCATGGAAAGGATGCAGCTAGACTTCCGGATTGGGTCTACCGAGCTTTGCAGTGATCCGAACGAGACCATGCCCCCTGCCGTTATTGTCGTGAATCTGCTGAGGAAGTATCTGTTGCCTGAGGTAAGACAAAGCCCATCATCAGTGCATTTTTAAAATCTTATTTTGTTTATACTCTTAAATCCATTTAAGTCACAAACTGTATGTCTGATGTTTAGATTGAATATGTAACGGTGAATGTTCATTTATAGCTGCAAAAAACACTGGACAAAGGTGACTAAAGTCCCAGCTTACTGTAACATATCTGGACATCAGAATTTTTCACATGAATTCAAACAATAATAAGAAATTCAGGTAACGTAACCGATCAGTTAAAACAAAGGATTATATATTTTTTTTAGAACTTTCTTTAACATGTAATAAAAAAACTGCCTTTGGCAAAATCACCCACAAGATCCACTTTGGAACAGATGACGTTCTTTTTTCTAGACACATTTGGGTAAAAACTATTTTTTGTGTTGTTTATATCTGCAATCAGAGTTTTTTCATTTTGTTTAGAGAGAAAAAAAAGAAAAGGATCAGCTATAAGTTTCATGACAAAAACTAAAGATTTTTTTATAGGACAGTAAAATTTAAAACTCAACTTCAACACCGTATTCACTGAATGGTTAAGATTTGGCAGGAAGAAATATTTCACAAACCCCTCTTTTCTTGACCTCCCTCCAAGTTCAAGAATAGAATTCCGTATTTTGTTAGGGCATAGATTGATAGATAATCCTGTATATTAGCAGACGCTTTTATCCAAAGCGACTTACAAAGCATAGAGACTTTGTGTTGGAGAGGGAAGTGGACTACTGAATGTATTCTAATTGATTTCTCAAGCATTAGGTAGAATTTGTACTAAAAGTGCATGCACGGCCAAAAGCCAAAAATGAAAATGTCTCTGTTGACCCAATCAGTGTGATGACTGTGCAGCATAAGCCAGGATGCTTAAAAGCAAAGAGTATACCAGGAAATGGGCCAGTTTTAGGCTGCAGCATTACGCATTAATGTCTGTGATGCTGGCGTATTCTCATCAGGGTTCACAACAACCATGTATCTTCTGTCTTTGACCAGCTTTTTTAAAAATGGTGACCCAAAAATCTGGTAGCCAACTGACCTTTTGGACAGATTGCAAGTCACACACCTGATAAAGTAGCTATTGCCTCTCTCCTCATATGCAGTATGACCTTGTTGGCTTTACTTAGAAAACAATGTTTCCGATGTTTCCTAAACGTGCTCAATAACAATGATGGTGCTGACAAAAAGAGCTGGTAGGTGAGTGAGTGGTCGGGGGAGGGTGAACAGAGACGGTTGGAAAAAAAAAGAGGTCTAGCTGGTCGGCCTCCCGTAGGTCTCCTTCCGTCAACTGGTCCGCCCTCTTAACATGACCACTGATGGCTTTCATCCCACTCCACACCTCCCTCAAGTTGTTCTCCTGAAGCTGCTTTCCAGCTTCCTCCTGGAGCAGTCCTTGTCCGCTGCCTTCATGTCCTCGGTTACCCGGGGTTTGTTGTTGGGGTAACGGTGCCCAGTCTTAGTGGGGATGATGTCATTTGTACAGACGTTGATGGAGGTTGAGCTGTGGCGCTGTATGCGTTCTTATTGTTAGCCTACAACAGATGTGTTGTTTTATTGTCCCTGGTTTTATCGTCCACAAGCTGCTTTAAAATGAGCAGTGTTGACGTTAAGGTGACATGGCTAAAATCCCCAGAGGTGGCAATGAAAGCTCTGAGGTGCCAGGCGTGCAGTCTGGTGGTCACAGATGCGATAGGATGTGTGAAGGCTGAAGGATGAGATCACAACGCTGAGCTTACTACGGTTATTTAGCTCCTAAAGGGTAAGATGGGGTGTCACTCGCAGCCACAGCTGGTGCTGGTAGCTAGAGACATCAAAGCCAAAACATCCTATACATAAAATTAACAAAACTTTACCCTCAACTTTCGAGTGGACCAGTGAGCCCACCGTGGCCAGTTCTTTAGATTCCTGAGTGGAAATGAAGACCTTATGGTGATTGTGGTGTGGTGCAGATCAAACCACTCCACGTATTTCGAACAAAGTGTACCGTAAAGCTCTTCTCTAGTGGTCCAGAAGGACATGATATCCCCCCTAGTCAATCATCAAGAAAAATCGCTCTTTGGACAGACTGCTCTCATGTGGTATAATTGAATAAAGTACGAAATAAAATGTTCTCAATAAATAGACAATGAATTTAGAATGTTTTTTAATTTATGTTAGTAAAATTCCTGAATCTGAGTTAGATGTCTATATGACGTCCAAAAAGTCATCTTCAAATGTCGTGGTTGTCAGGGTGGTGGGTTTTGAGGGAGGACTCAGGCGCGGAGGGTGACGAAAACAGGGTTTATTGGAACAACAAATACTCAAAAGGGTGGAAGTCTAGACAAGGTTAAAAAACAAGGCTGTGGCAAAACTGTGAAAAAACATGGCTATGGAACAAAGTAAATAATACTATGGCAAAAAGCAAAACCTTACGTGACATGGGGAGACAAAAGACGAGGGACGAGAGACGCAAACGAACTGGCACAGGACAGGGGAAACGAGGACTATTTAAACACATGAGGGAGGGGAACCCCAGGTGTACACAATAGGTAATCAAGACATGACGAGACACCAGACATTCCCACACACTTGACAGTGGTTCAATGTCCAAAACTGGTCTTTGACACGATATTGGAATGATCTGCGCGCATCTGCGTGATTTGTTAGCGATTTTTCTCTGCTCTGTTTCCTAGGCCAGTATACTGGTCACCACGAGGCTGTCGGCCGTCGATCGCATCCCTCAGAAGTACGTGAGCTGTTACGCCCAGATCTGCGGCTTCAATAACCCGGAGCTCCACCGCGCGTACTTCACCAATCGCCTGGCCGGTCAAACCGAGGAGGCGGCGCACAACCAGGAGGCCCAGACGCTGCTGGAGATGCTGTTCTTCAACCTCCAGAGGGAGAGCCAGCTGGCCGCCGCCTGCTACCTGCCCTCGTACTGTTGGCTCACGTGCGCCACCCTGCACTTCCTGCACTTCACCGACGTCCAGGCGCCCCCCCGCACGCTGACCGGCATATACACCAGCTTCCTCAGGCTCAACTTTGGGGGCGAGGTTCTAGGCGCGGGTACGGGGGCCAGCCCGTCGGTCCAGGAGCAGAAAAATCCGCTAATGCTGTACGTCGTCCGCACCGTCGGTAAGCTCGCGTACGAGGGCGTGACCCACAAACGCACGTCTTTCTCAGAACGGGAGCTGGAGCAGTGGATAGGAGGGGCGACGAAGACCGACGAGGAACTGCGTCAGCTGGCCATATTCCAGACCGACGTGCTGGATTTCTTCTTTACTCCTCGCGTGGAAAGTAGACGGTATCCTTCAACACTAAGCGAGAATGATGAGAGGCAGTATGTATTTGCGGATCCAGTCATGCAGGAGTATTTAGCAGCCCTGTATGTAGTCCTGGGAGAGAACAGATCCACCCTGGGGCAGCTCACCAGACAGGTTTCCACAGCCATCGGTCAGGCAAGTGAGGACATCAGCACCGTTGTTAATATCGTGTCGAAGTTCATCCCACTCAGGCTCTTAGCCGTGTTTAACCTGCTCAAGCTTTTCCCAAAGCTGTATGCAACAATAAGCAGCCACAACAGAGGCAGGATAGCTAGAACCATGGCATCCGAGATGTTCCGCACCGAGGACAGCCAGAACGAGGACGTCCTGGATCAAGTGGAGCAGGACATTCTGGGCGTCCAGGGCCCCCAGCTCAATGAAGCCAAGACCTTTGAGCTCTATCCCATTTTCAAGGGTGGATTGTTGCATTACGGCAACCGTGTCCTCCTCCAGCAGCTTGGCTGCAGCATTCAAAGCAATACTGTGGCCCAGATCACACGGGGCCTGAGGAAGAACCTCGTCAAAGGTAACACACATTTGCTTGTCAATCCTTTAAAAAAAAATCTAATAATTATTTAGATTCAATTGTATTCAAAAGTATTTAAAATGTACGCATTTGCATATATCCCAAATGTGATTTGAATTGGCAACAATAATTCTACAAAAATGGTAAAATATAGAGAACCCTTTTCGTCCTTAGTTATGATATCCATCATATTTATTTACTGAACAAAAAACAGGATTTCACTTGTCAAATATTTTGCACGATCCATCCTTTATTTCTTGGAGGAGCATGGTCAGCTGGGTGACATTTAGGTATGAAAAGGAAAATAAAATGTTGATTGCTCACTAAATGAAAAAGTCCAAATGAGAGCACTTCCTAATGGTAGATGGTCTCTTGAGACAAACTGTATGGTGAAGTATGCTTTGGAGTCTATTACAGAAACATTTATGTCCAATATGATCCAGGAATGAGGGATGGAAACAAAAATTAATGAAGCAGATGTCAGACATCTCTAGGTTTTAGGTACCACGCTGATCTTTGAATTAATGCTTCATGATCAGTGTTTGAGAAAGTCTCCATTACCAGATTATTGATCAAAAGGGGCTTAAGGTAACAACAGTTGCTAAGAATCCATTGTTGATCCCTGCAAACATCCAGAAACACCTGGAGTACTGAAACTGATGGAGTGGCAATGTTCCCCCCAATTTTTCACATGTATGAGAATACATACAAACTTCTTGAGAATTCATTGGACCATTGTAAGCAACACCAGACAGTACACTAAAAACTAAGGGAACGATGGTGTCACATCACTCCAAAACCTGAGAACAAAACAAGTCACATGACTGATTAAAAGAATCAATTGACAGCAGTATGATTACTTTACACACCAGTGATTTGGTCCACTTAGAGGGAAAAAGACAAAAATCATGGTCCCGCTATGGAGAAATCGAGACATGTACAGATATATCCCACTAAATGACTGTATTTAATTACTGTATTTACATTTTGCATCATGAGATGTGCTGGAACACAAGCTAAGATATATTCCTTTATAATAGCAGTGATTTCTTAAACAAAATTGTTGCCGTTTAATGCAGTGCCTGCTGAGTGCTTTAAAGTATTCATAATTCAGTAATTAATATCAATGTACAGAACAAACATTTTTTTAACTTTTGGTTCAGTTGTGTAAAATGCAATGTTTAACTTTAACTTTTAACTGTAAAAAGGATAAAATTTTATTTGGCAAAACACTGACATTCCCCCATATATACTCCAAAGTGTGCGATTGCAGGGACATAAGGTGCAGAAATATAATAGTGGATTAGTCATAGTTTGAATAAGGGGTTTGTGAATGGGAGTACAGATTGTTTGTGAAGGCAAACCTTGTTCTAGTCTAATACAAAGCCAGGGTACATTGAGAAAATGTTAAATTTTGTGTGAATAATAAGTCTTTTTTTTCCTCTTTGTGCCAGAGATCAGCAAGCCTCTGCCACCAGAAGAACTGATGGATCTGCTGGTCCTTCTGTACGAGTTTCAGAACCCCAGACTGACCGCAGAGGTTCTGGCCTCATTCACAAGCATCCGCCTAAACGACATTCGCATGACGTCACTCAAGTGCTACATACTGAGTTCGGTGCTTTCGTGCACTAATGCAAGGTACACGGCAAGCTGACTGAAGTAGTTAACAGTTTGAGTTGTGCTTTGAGAACTAACATAACTGAAATTTGATTGGACAAATTTCACTATATTCTTCCCTGAATGTAAGATGCAAACATGCTGTCTCGTCTAATTGTAAATATGCGTCAACGTTTGTCTGCAGTTATCATCTTGATGTACTGGACCTGTCCTCCTGTCTTCTAAACGAAAAGATGCTCAGAATTTTGAGGCCTGCCTTCAGACACACAAGCAACCTCAAGTGAGAAAAACATTCCATCCTTTTAGAACTGCTGCTTGCAATGCAAATTTTTTATATTACAGCATTTGCAAATGCGTAAGTCCACAAATTACTGCTGACATGTTTATGCGTTGAAAGAAATTTGAATCCATTGAACCTGAATTGTTCTGTGTGTGAAATAACCTTTGTTAGTACAGTAAGTCACAGTGCTAAATAGGGCTTTTTTACAAGTGTTTTTGTATTGTTTATTCAGTGTAATTGTTTTTCCTGCCTGGTGCAATTTTTGTTTTTGTCTGTTTTCAGCCTGCAGTTTAACAGCCTTGGCCCCGATTCCTGTATCCTGTTGAAAGACCTGCTGATAGAACCCAATTGTTGTATTAATTCTTTACAGTAAGTTTTTTTTCATCCATATATAGTCTTTGCATCTCTAAGAATTCTTTCATTACCATATTCTTTACTATTACTCTTAAGTTTTAAAATAATAATAAGCAGGTTGTATTATAACTACCTACTAAGGAGGCTTTAATATGCCATTCGAAAACCAAAATATGATTTTTTAAGTTTCAGTAATCACCTGTGCTCTCCCTCACTAAGTACTCAATTGGCATTTTTGGCTCAGACATTACCCCCTGGATACGTCAGAATTTCACTGACTGCATGCGACTTTATATCATTCACAGGAAAATTCAGAGCCACTTTCTCTCAAAAAGTTTGTTTTTCAATTATTTCTGAAATTAACTAAAACGTAAAGGAAATGTATGGTAATATTATAGCTTTTCTAATGCGATGTGGTGTGAATGTTATGAGTGGCCTTTATAATATTTATTACTTTTAACAGAAAAAGCTTTTTTTACAGTATCAGCTTGGGTCTTGATGGCGCCTCTGGTTTTCTGTTAGAAAACTGCTCTTCCTCATGAGCCTCAGCCACTCATAAGTCATAGTTTAAAAGGTCATAATTGTGTATAACTTTTTATTATAATTACAGATTCTTGCAGGTTGGCAACTCTTGTCGCTCGCTTTAAATTGAAAACAAAATCACAGGACACACTAAATCAAAATCATCTAAAATATAAAACATGTTTTGAGTTATTTTACCCTTTTTTTTCACAACTTCCACAAATGATCATTCATAATTTTGATGCCTTCAGTCTACGACAAATAGTCATGAAAATAAAAAAAATTGTGTCTCCAAACATATGTAAATATATATATATCTGTGTATGTATATAAAGTCCATTGGTGTTTTGTTTTACAGTTTTGTGAGAAATTACTCACAAAACTACAGTCTTCCTATGACATCACATCCTGGGTAACGTCACTTGTTTTTACTTGTTCTACTGTACTTACAGCAGAGTCTGATTATTTCAATGTGTTCCGTAGGCTTTGCGGCAACCCACTGCAGGACTCTGGATGCTGCAGCCTGTTGGAGGCTCTGCCAGAGAACCAGTCCTTAACACACCTCTCCCTGATGCACACCGGACTGGGAGACCTCGGGGCCTTGAAGCTGGCGGAGAGCCTCCATCAGCAAACGGGGCTCCAGGAGATTAACGTGGCTTATAACAACATCGGGGACAGTGCGGCTCTGGCTTTAGTGCACGCCTGCAGAGAGCATCCTACTATTCACACTGTGCAGTAAGTCCAGTAGCTGTTCATTACATTAACATCTGTACGTGTGTTTCAGCTATTTCACACAGGAAAACACAAAGGAGTCTTACGCTCTTAGCTTTTGCTTTAGTATCCAAGCATGACAGTGGAGTCTATCAAAGATATGCAATGCTCACGTCAGGTCTTTTGTTAGACCTTTGAATATGTGAGATAAGGCAATGACACTTAAGCCCATCAATTAAGAGCTCGTATCTGCATCCCTGTGAGAAAAAATGCAATATAGAAAATGGATGGATGGAGTTAAATGAGACCACAAACAAGCAAATAAAGGGTAGTAAAGATAACAACAAAAAATTCAAGACAATTCAACAACAAAAATGTTTTATATAGTAAAATGATATTATTCAAATAAGAACACAATAGGAAACTTTGTTTTCTGTCCTGTTCCAAGGGGTTTTTTGCTTCCGAGAAATAGGTAAAAGGCTCACCATGGCTAAAGGAAAACATCTGTGAACATGGGTATTACACGATGTTGCATTCTCACTCCTGAATGAAATATTCTTAATAAGTATTTAACTTAGCGTAGTATTATAAGAAATAGTATTACTCTCGATCAGTCTCAAAGTAGACTACTTCACTGAGTTCTTGTTTGAAATATATTATAATAATATTATTAATGATAATATAAATAAATAAATAAAAATAAATAATTTCATCACAGTGCGTCATGTGTATATATGCTTTATGATCAACTTCGAAAAAAGCGTTTACCAAGAAATACAGACATAGAAGGATATGTCAGGGCCCTGATCGGTGTATAACTAAGTTATTGTTTTTATCTTAACATTTATTTGGACACCAACCACGTGCTAATCACTTCCCAGGCCCAGATAGGTTGGGTTTTGTTTCAATGCAAGGCATTATTTTCTTCAATACTCTAATCAAGAAATGTACAATATTCGACCCAGATTTCTAAAAAACCAAACAAACAATTTCTTTTTTTATTGTACTATAGGCTTCCACTTTGACAGTGAATATATGTCGACTCATTAACACGGCAATGGTTTTTTCTTTGTCCCCCTGCAGCTTGTATCTGAATCCTTTCAGTGATTTCGGGAAGCTGTCCTTGCACGGCCAGAGCTCTCCCAGAAGCCACAGCAGCAAAGGCAGAGTGAAGGTCCTGGCCTCTGTCACCGAAGGCTCCAACATCTCCGAGGATTGGCACCCCGTCCTGAATGTGATAAGAGAGAACGCCTCGTCCTGGAACCGCGAACGAGTCAAGCAGCAGCTCGAGGTGCACACCGAAGAAAATGACTATGCATGTTTTTAAGTAATGCGCAGCAATGGAGTAATACAAAGCTCTTTTTTTGGTACTTGATATTGTATTAGGTTCCAGCTGTTTTATATATGGGGTTGCAGAGGTGCTGGAAACTATCCCATTGAGATGTTGGGAAGGGCCTGGACAGGTCAAATATCCATCACAGAGCCACACAGAAACAAAGAGAACCATGCATATTAACTCTGTCTCTTGTGGTCCATTAAGAGACTCAAATTGACCTAACAAATTTTTTTTTTAAAGCGGGAGGAAGCTGGAACACCCAGAGAAAACCAAAACTCCAAAGTCCAAATGCCACGCCAAAAGAGGGCTATAAGTTTGAATCTGCAAATAAAAAAAAAAAACTTGAATCTGAAAAGTAGTTTAAAACGTTTTTTTTTGGTGTTCAAAATGGGTTTTTTTTCCGGGTATATATATATATATATATATATATTTTTTTTTTTTTACTTTGTTTTGGGGGTTGAAAGTTTTTTGTTTTTTGGGTTCAATTTTTTTTTCCTGGTTCAATTTTTTTTCTCAGATAAATTTAACTCCATACATTTTACCAGTATTGTTTTTGTTAGCATACAATGTTTTGTTTTTTATTCTTTGCTAACATGTTTAAGAGCATAAATACACAATAAGAACAGATCCGCATATCAGTGTGAATTCTGTCAGTGATTAAATCACATTACAGACTGAACTAAAAAAAATGACAATGATTTTTTTTATAATAAGCAAGTGTTCTTCTGTCTCTGTGCCCAGATTTTTCTCCAGGATCTGGAATGGGGGCGTCAACAGCAGCAAAGCCTCTGGAAGAGGTTGCACTTCCGTCGGGTGGAGAAAGGAGTCCAACAGACTTTAAAGATGTTGGAGAAGGACAATCCACCTCCATCCTAAGCATTTACCAAGGAAACCCTAAAACACCTAAAGCTGTAGAGAAATCCATTTCTTCAGCACCGTCATGGTTTGAATTAAACAGCATTCACACATTTTAGACTAGAGATAAACCTCAGTGGCCAAAGTGGCAGTTCTGGAATAGTACAATTAGTTTTTTCCCCACACAATTTCAGCATTAATATCAAACAGCAAAAACTAAATTAACATATTTAAACTATAGGTTGTACTGGGTCAATGTTTTTTAAATCCAAAAATTCCATTAATGGAAATTTCATTCGTACATTAGTGGGAAAAAGGGAAAGGAAACTGTACTGTAAAAGACATGTCGAGTGAATAAGTGTTCCACCAGTTGGGCGTAGAATCTGAGATAAGTGCAGACTTCAGCCTCTGCCCCTGTGCCAATTAGTGTTGGATGTTTTTTTAAAATGTAAATATGAACTATAAGCAAAGGGTCTATCTTTTAAAAGGAATGTGTTTAGATTTCTAAAGTGTTCATAAGTGTGATGTACAAACAACTGGGCCCCAGCAGACAAATACCTGCTATCTAAGATTAGAATCGTACTAAGAGTATTTCATTCACTGTCAACGTAGGCCCTCGCCTCATTTTTAAGTATATTTTTTATGAATGTTGTGCATTATGATCACTGTCTGTGCATAAAAGTCTATTATTTTGAAGGAGTGTGAAGTGAGTGACACAATCACCCCTGCAACGCATACAAGACAATTCAAAGTGCTTTTCATAAAAGATTAAGAAAGAGAAATGGATATGAAAGTAAGAGTTAAAAAGCAGAAATTTAGAGGTTAAGTCAGATGAAATAAAAATGATTGATTAAATTAGTTAAAAGTGAATACTGCAGATAAAACACTTTCAGTTGTCAGCTAAGTAGAGCTGTTTACAACCTGGATTTAAACATTGTCAAGAGTTGAGGCTTGTCTCCCTTCCTAAGATAATTTTAGGAGGCAGCCCATCCTGTTTGGTTCTGAATACCACGGGTTCTTAGTCTGGGCTTGTTCATTCGGCTCTAACATGTCAAAACTGTTTTAAAGTCTGCTCTCTGAGAGACAAGGAAGCCAGCACAGAGACCTGAGCACTGGAACGATGTGGTCTTTTTTCCTGGTTCTAATCGGAACTCGATAAGCAGCAGCATTCTGGATGTTCTGCAGCTGTTTTGCATCTGGTTTAGCAGCTGTTACAGTTGTCTGATGTTATTGATTCAATGTGGCTGTTAAATTCAGGTCTGGGTCAAGTACTACTCCTGGATTTCTTACCAGATGATTAGGTGTAAGAGAAAACGCTCAGACATACGGAGCCCCACAGTAACATGCCAATTATTTATCTTTTGCTTTCCCTAAAAATACTTTTTGCTTGCCCATAATCATGCAGGCTACTCAGCCCACTCGTTAGTTTGCGTCAAGGTGGACACAATGGAGCACCCACACCCTTTGGAGAACTTTAGAAGGTTTTTTTTTTAGATCGGTAAAAAAATCGGTAATAAAGATATATAGATATAAAGATATATTGACAACGCAATATTGTATTGCGTGGGAACACAAACACAAACACAAAAACAAAAAAGTTGCCATGTTACCTGGGGGGGCTCCACACAGACTTTATGCAGGGAGAAAGATCTAGAAAGAGACCAGAGGTTACTAAAAGTTCTGGCCAGGCAACGACTGACCCAACAAGTGTTGAAAACAAAGTCGGCATGACGCAGGCCACAGAGCCAAGCGAGGAGAGCTGAGTTACTGACCGCTAAAGCCACCCAGAGCCTATGCAACCGTTTCCAAATGTCACAGGGAAAAATGTTATAAAGCAGGATTTGAGCAGCTTTAATAGTGAAATGAACAACAAGCTGGAGGAGGTCAGTTTGGATATCGGGTAAGAATCAAGGTTCACGGCTAGCTGTGGGGGAACAAACCAGAGATGGTGAACTTGCTGCTTTGATGCCTCAAACATCAGAAGGTTCTCCTGGACAAAGTCACTTATTTAGAAGCAAGATCTCAACGGAATAATAACCGCAGGGCACCTTTCCATTGGTGATCATACCAGGCTGCAGATGGGTCTTCTAGACCTGGGACCTAGACCCCAAGATACAGCGATTGCAAGATCTATCCTGGTGACCTTTCACAGATATGACATAAAAGAAACAATCTTAAAAACTCTTCTACGTGCATCACCTACCAACAGAAATAAACGGTAAGGTTAAAGAATACAAAAGCATCGAGAAGAATCTCAAGAGGAACAAATATGCTTCTAAACGCCGTACTTGGCTTGGTAACAAGGAGCTAAAATGAGCTAGGGTTCATTTAGCAAACAACAGGTGCAGTAATGCCTCACACAAAATGTTAAAGTAAAAACAGGAGGAACAGAACAAAATCCTTAACAGAATCCTTGTAACAGAAACACAAAAAGCAAAGAAAAGCTGAAAGGGGACAAGGACTAAGGGACTAATGAAAAAAAAAAGCTGGTCAATAAGCATTCCTATTCACAAGTTCTGCATTTCAACATTGCATAGAAATTTTCAAAAGAAACGTTGTTTACCAAGGAAATATCGTCATAATGCCACATTAAAACAGATACGGTGACAAGATGCTATTTCTGTTTCTTACAGATCTTAAAAGAGGCCGGAAACTAGTAAAATTCTAGCCATCAATTCAGCTCATGCTCAACAGACAAAGCCTGAGTTGATAAAGTTTGGAATTCTTATTTATTTTTTAATAAAGGTTGATCATTTTCACTGATACAAAGGTCTTTAAACAGTAAAAATACCGTCCATTGACAGACTTCCTTCAGTATTTCAGAACATGGAACAACATTTAGTCAAAAATATGACAATCAACAGCGCACGCAATATAATTAATACAGCAAGAAATTGAAAATCAACTACAAAAAAAGACTGATGTCACAATATCCACATGAGCAGGAAAGTACTCTAACATTACAACTAGATTACCGTGTTTTTGTCATTTTATTAAGTTTTTCTATTCATGCATAAGCTTTCATTTTACAAAAAGATTTTTTTAATACATAGATTTGTTATGAAAAAACACACTGCATTTAAAATATTTTACATGACATTGTCATTTTGACCTGTTGATTAATCTTGTTTTACCCACCCCCATAAAAAAAAATGTTTATCTATTTTATAGTGAAGTTCAATAGACTGCTTGGTTTGAAACTGAACAGTTTTTAGAACATCGGTCCTGCTACTGTGCATGCAGATTAAACAACACATAATTCATAGCATCTATGACCAAATGCTGTTGCAGATAGATGTTAGAAATTGATGTTTTTTTAGTTTCATAATAAATATATTTTTATCAATTAATTCAGCAATGTTTAATTTACTATTTTGGGGGTATTTTCATAGTTCCTTAACCTTTTCCTGATGCTACCTAAAAGCACATGTGGATATATATATATATACACACACAGTATATGTATATATGTATATATATATATGTACAGTATATGTATATAAATTAAGTGTCTGTACATGTATATATATTTTAAAAATATAAATATATCTATATGTATGCCATATGTTATACAACTAGTCGTCATTAGACTTTTAGGCATACATCAATCAGAACTGGTTTGCCTTTTTTCGTCTTGCATGGGCAGATCTGAGATACATGTATTTGTCAGTGGGAAGTTCACGTTTGTGATTGAAAATCATTCATTTGAAGCTCCTGCTGAGGACAAGCACGATTCATCCTCTAAAAACAGTACATGAGGTAGTCATCACACACATTTTTTTTTTACAGTCAACCAAGTATGTTCTTTGCCTAAGTTACCTTCTTTCTAAAAACGTGCTGTTTGCAATGCGCTTATCGTCATATCTTTCATCTTAAATTCTACCCTAAATTACAATTGTCCCCTCATTAAAATAAGCCTATTTCCATTTTAGTCCTCACAGTAAGGACAGACTGGATATCACACTGAGTTTGTTGTACATTGCAAAATGTTACAAAACACAAGTTTGAATTTCTTTATTTTGCAGGATAATATCTTTGACACTTGAAAAATGTTTTGGTTTTAAAGTTTGATTCTTTTCGTTTCCCCTTGCAATCTCTATCCGCAGCTCTTCCTTTATATCAAAACATACCCCTACGATCTTCTGAGCAAATCATACTTGAGTGTGTTGCTGTGAGTCGGTAATAACAGTGACCCCTCGATGAAGCGCGTCCATGTTTTGGAAATCGTGGACGCGCTCGGACTTCAGGCTGTGCAGGGCTGACGCGTCCGAGGCCGACGATGTGCAAACTGACCGGTGAGGCTTCAACCACGAAGAATCTGCAATGTCCCCGTTTTCTGGGATCATACCTCGGACTACAGCGCTATAGTCAACGTGGGGCGCCTCCTCGGCGGGCAGCTGGTGAGGAGGCAGGTACTGTCTGGTGTGCACGTGAGGCTTGTTCTGCTGACCGGAGCTGAAAATGTTCTCCTCCGACAGCAGCAGGTTTGCGAACACGGTCGCGCAAGGCTCGATATATTCCTCGCCTTTGGGCAGTGACGGCGGCGACTGGTCCTGGCTCAAAAACTCCTCGTGGGACTGGGGATGGTTGCCGTCAATGTCACAGCCGCCCAGGTAGTACTCTGACTCCAGCTCCTGACGGCCTCGGCCCAGGGAAAGGGCCGGGCCGGACGCGTCTCCCCCGGGGCCCGTTTCACAGTTTTGCACGTCCTCGCTGTCTGAAAGTCTTGTGCTTGACATCCAGTCCCAGTGATATACTGGAGAGTGAGAGACAGACATGGTTAGCGACAATCTTAATTTTGAGAATAGATACACAGCATGGGGAGCTTCTCATGAGTAATATGAGAAGTCTTCAGTTTAAGATCGAAAATTAGGTTCTTTGACTAAACCTAAGTCCAATATGTTTAAAATAGGCAGCTATTTTTCTCTTAAATCTTCAACCGTGGTAATTGGCAGCGTCATAGTTGAAAAAATTGACTTGGAGACATCATCATCCTTCGTTAAAGACATTCCAGGCAAGGACGGATTAAGGGTAGTCTGGGCCCCAGGGCAAAGAATTCGCCCAGGGGCTTGGGCATGCGTATTACTGCACAAAGTTACGAACGCTTGGAGAAGCCGTCAGATCGCCATACCTTCATAAAACACCAAAAAGTAAGTAATTGCATTATTTTATTTGTACATAACAAAAGGGATACACGCCTGTTGAGGTAGTTTATAGTGTATTTCTCGTGCAAAACTAAAGGGATACTCGCGCGTTGAGGTAGTTTAAAGTGTATTAAGAGAAGGGTCTAGCTGAACCTGGAGTGCCAATCAAAATGCGAAATCCGCTACAAAAGCCCCCCCCCCCCCCGGTGCCGACGGAGGGCTGGCCGGCACTTCAAAGAAAAACAAACTGCTAAATGTCACCAGTCGGAGAAAACCAGAAGCAAAATAAACAACACGACATTCTCCCTCCGAGGAGCAGCTGGGATAATAAACCACCAAACCGTATTTGTGGCATAACCTTTTCAGACTTTTGTTTTTAGTTTGTACTCTTGAACATTGCAAAGAATATAAAAGAATCTCACAAAACCTCTGTGTTTTCACAAAACTGATGTCATTCTGTTTCTATTGACATTTACTTTTGCATTTTCTGACCATTTTTCACCAGAAAAAGGCTTTTTTTTTGGTCTGGCTGATCGCCTCTGTTGAAACTTTTGGTAAAAACTTGACCTGACGCCAAGATACGCTGAACCCAACTTCCCACATCAAACCTAGAAGCAGTGAATGAGTCATGAGGAAATCTGGGAAGTGTGACAGGGAACTGGTGTTGGAAAATCTCCGTGGAACACTTCTTTTACAGACCGTGCCCCCATCAGCCAGGAAATTAAAGTTACCAGCAACTTACCGGGCAAAAAAGTGGCACACAGAGAGCAAAATGCAAAAAAATACAACAAATACAGATTAAAACCTTTAAACGGCAACCAGGAAAGTCCAGCCGAACTGTGAACTGCTAGCTTTAGTGACCACAGGCAGAATGATGATTCACTAAGTAATGAGCAAAGTCCAAAATAAACTAAGATTTTAGAACGGTGGGATCATCTGTGAGGGGGGGGAAATCAATGGAAATGCCATCTGTTAGCATCTGTTAGCAGGAATCTTCCCCGGCGTGATCTGACTGTAAAGCAGACCTTTGCTACTGTAAGGCCGCAGTACAGTTGGTTTAAAAGTTGAATGAAAATCAGACGAAAAAACTCTCGAAGATGGAGCATCTCTATCTTCTGATGGAAACTGTCTCTGAGATAGCAGATGTCTCATAAGGGATGACGAACCATCAGATCCTATTACAGAGACTGGAACATTTCATTGGCATTAAAGGAGCCGTTCTAAGTTGGTTTAGGTCCTATTTATCAGATCGGTTTCAGTTTGTGCATGTTAACGATGAGTCCTCCATGCATGCCAGAGTTCCACAAGGATCCGTTCTAGGACCAATAGTCTTTACTTTAAATATGCTTCCTTTAGGTAATATTATCAGGAAACACTTTATCAACTTTCATTGCTATGCAGATGATACTCAGTTATACCTATCGATCAAGCCAGATGAAACTCATCAGCTAGATAAGCTTCAAATGATTCTTCAGCATGTTAAAACCTGCATGACCTGCAATTTTCTGAAGTTATTGTTCTAGGGCCTAAACACCTTCGTGACGCATTATCTAGAGATATAGTTTCCCTGGATGGCATCACCCTGGCCTCCAGCACCACTGTGAGAAATCTTGGAGTTATCTTTGATCAGGACATGTCGTTTAACTCTCACATTAAGCAAATTTCAAGAAACGCCTTTTTTCACCTTCGTAATATCGCAAAAATTAGGAGCATCCTGTGTAAAAATGATGCAGTAAAAACTAGTCCATGCATTTGTTACTTCTAGGCTGGATTACTGCATTTCCCTGTTATCAGGCTCTTCAAAAAAGTCCATCAGGACTCTTCAGCTGATCCAGAATGCTGCAGCACGTGTTCTTACAGGAACCAGAAAAAGATATCATATTTCTCCTGTCTTGGCTTCTCTGCACTGGCTTCCTGTTAAATCCAGAATAGAATTTAAAATCCATCTCCTTACGTACAAAGCTCTTCATGATCAGGCCCCATCTTATCTTAAAGAGCTGTTAGTACCTTTCTGCCCTACCAGAGAACTGCGCTCCTAGAATGAAAGGTTATTGGCAGTTCCTAGAGTCTTGAAAACTAGAATGGGTGCTAGAGCGTTGAGCTATCAGAGTCCTCTTTTGTGGAACCAGGTTCCAGTTTGGATCCGGTAGGCAGACACCGTATCTATATTTAAGAGTAGGCTTAAGACTTTCCTTTATGATAGAGCTTACAGTTAGGGTAAGTCCACCCCTGGTTGTGCTGCTATAGGCCTAGACCGCCGGGGGATGTAAAAAAACTGTCAAGGGAAGCATTTAATAAGACTTGTGAAGCACTCTGTGTCATGGGTGTGTCTTACCACTGTCGTCACAGCAGTCAGAATGAGCAGAACTCTGTGACTTGGTCTCTGAGTTGCTGCCTCTATTGTTCCCCGAGAAATAAGTCTCTTCCTCTGTGATGTAAGCCATCTTAGCTGGATGGAGAGATTAGCCAGTATATGTCAGCTCTTCAACTTCTGGTAAAATAGCACAGGTTCATATACTACCACTGCAGTATATTCATAGTCTTGTTATAGTATATAGTGTTTTCTTTCTATTTTTTTCAGGCTGTGGATGGGGGATTGGATTGAAGAGAAGATTAGGTTTTCTGATCTAGGAACATTTTATTTGGTTCTGTGTGAATTGTATCACCGTCTCTATCTTTCTACCTATATAGTGTTTAAGCTAAGTAGAGACCACTCAAGGGGAGGTGAATAATTAATTATCGTGAGTGGTAGCATACAATTTAATTAGAAGTATGGGGAAAATATTGAAAGGGCACTTTTAGACTTTTAAAGGCATAGGCTATCGTGTAATATTACATATATGTCCAGAATATATATAAATATATATATATATGTGTGTGTGTGTGTGTGTGTGTGTGTGTGGGTGCATATAGTAGCAGACTTTTGATTTCCAACTAATAATGAATTAGCTTCCAAAACTATAAAATTAATATAAAAGTAAAAGTGATGATGGCATTTTCTGTTGCAGCTGTTCAACAAATGACACATGGACATATACTTCAATAAAAAAAATCTATATCCCCACAGTTAACTGTTGTACCGACAATTCTGAGGGATAAATGACACACACAGGCTTACCTTCTTTGCTGGTCACTTGGCATTTGGAATCACAGTCTGAGGGACAGGGGGACACTGGCGGTAGGTTGGGGGTCACTCTGTACAGCACGAGACTCCTTTTGGCCGTTCCGGACAGGATTCTGAGCGAATCCGGATGGAAGGTGCTCATCTCGATAGACTCCATGATGTGCTCATCGGGCATTATCTTCAGTTTGGACAGTGGGTCTCCTTGGAAACAGGGCACGTATTCCATGGGCCTGACAGGGATCTGTGGAGGCTCCATTACTTTTGTCCCTATCGTCATGGCGGGGTCCATCCCTGGCTCTGAGTAAAGATTGAGCTGTTCCCCAGGCGTGCAATGCAGAGTCTTAAAATGAATACAGTTGGCCTTGCTGAGAAGTGTTGCAGTGGCCGGGTCCTGGACCAGAGACATGCTACTCCGCGAATAGTCCTTCTTGAACATCTTCTTGCGGAACCCGATGAAGAGGAAGATGAGGAGGAAGATCACGAAAAGCAGCACGGAGATGCCGAGCAGCTCCTCCTTACCGACCACGGCGTGGCCGGCCTGCATGTCCGGCACGATCATGGGCCGCAGGCTGCAGCGCTGACCCACAAAGCCCGGCGTGCAGTTACAGTAGAAAGAGCCAGGGGTGTTGATGCACACCCCTCCATTCTCGCATTCCCCCTCAGGATTGCTGCGATCACACTCGTTGACATCTTCCTCACAACTGCAGGATGGAGAGATTAAAAAAATATCGGATAAGCGATTCTTTTTTTTACGTACACTTGTAAGATCTATGTTTTCCTTGTCCCAAGACAAATCTTTACAAAGAGATTGAAATAAAAATCAAAACTAGTCAGTGTATAAACTACTCTTAAACGATTAATGCTTTTATTCTTATTTTACACATAACACGAACTGAGAATTGTGAGGATATTCTGATATTCTGAATCTTACACCAGGCCTGTGAAACCTCTCCGGCAGCTGCAGAGGAACGCGTTGCCGATGTGTTTGCACACGCCGCCGTTCTGACAAGGGTTTGGAACGCACACCGTTACCTCCATTTCACAAGTCTTTCCAGTGTAACGGGGGTTGCAGCTGCATGTGAACCCTGAGAGACAAAGAGAAGAGCTTCTTTCAGGAAACAGTGCAGAAACAAAATATACAGGGTCAAGAAAAAATCTAACTCCTCTACACAAGCTAACAAAAGGCACTGGAATGCAAATGGCAGGATGTGAAAAATATAAATAAACTTGAACCTACCACAAAAAACCATCAAACATCCATTCCTTACGTTTCTGGAATGCATTTTTCATTGCATTCATCGATACATCTAATTGATTGTATGTAGTACAACAATGTATCTTTTAGTTTGATATTCATTAGTGTTTAATCTTCTATCTCTCTATATGTTGGTGGATCTATCTACAAGAAAAGCATAACTTTAATAATATGTAATAGTGAATGTGTATTATTTCATTTTGGGAAATATTAAAGTGTTAAGTTTAGTTATTATAGTTTAATGAAAGCCCCAGTAAAAACATTAAGGTATCCACAATGATAAAATAATTTTACATCCGTCGTTAAATCAACATGAACAAAGTGTTATGAGACCAAATAGAAGACAATGAGACATTGCTTTGTCCTAAATTAGATATTTCATCATTGTTTCTTCTTGGGAATGGTTTTGATTAAAAAACACACAACCAAAAAAAATATATTATATATGTATTTATTATTTAACTAATAGCATTAGATATATTGTATGTGAATACGTTTATGACTACTCCTTGTTTACAATAAACAACCTGCAATCCTTTGTTTTTTGAGATCAACAAAATATCAGAGTTGTAATATTTTCTGCATTTTTTACTCACCACCAGAGTACAAACTAATGCAGGTGGCACCATTGTGGCACGGCTGATGCAGGCAAGGATCAGGGTAGAGGATGCAGCCCAGCTTCAGCTGGGTCATTTCCACAACCTCTGCATGCTTTGAATGTTTAATCTCCAGAGACAGCTCTTTGTTGTCCAACATGATTGAGTCCATGCATCCTTGGAATCCCTCCATCACCAAAGGGTCTCTCTGAGAGTCGACAAAGCTGTGCAGGCTAGGGGACTGCACCTAACAAGTGGAAACAGACAGCATGGCATATTTTGTAATGAGTTAGTTTAAATGACATACGTGCGCAAAAAATAACATGTAACAATCACAATAATAAGATGCAATTATGGGTAAATAGGACATTCTAATGAGGGCATTTAATGCAATACCTAATTAGCATTTTCAAGAAAATGAACAAACATGATCATTTTCATTTGTTGATATAAAATATTAAAGTTCATGGTAAGTCATTTTCCTACAAAAGTAAAATGATCTTTGTTTGTAGGTGACATCCATCTGTACTACAATTTCTCATACTTGGTACTTTTTATTTGTGTGAATATATTGTCCATTTCCTCTCCTTTCGACTAATGACACAGAACAGAATTGGACCTAAGCACTAAGTGTAATGAAACATTTTTTTTTTCAAATAACTAAGTATGTATTAATCCTACTACACATCTTGAATGATGAAGACAAGCATGAAAATTTTGAATTCATAATGTTACTTTAATATAATAATGGGAATCCCAGAAGTTGCATGTGCAGACAAATGATCCAAAATAATAATAATAGTGCTTTTAGTAAGTTATCTGCTATCTCTTTCCAAAGATATTGTTTTATTTTTTATTGTATATATATATATATATATATACAGTATATATTTGAGATTTTATGCCAAATAGTAGAAGATAGCTACTTGGGGAATATATACAGTTTGTTATGCTACATTTTGAAGTGCAAGTGCTCAGGAACTTACCAGGGCTCCAAAGTAAATAGTTTTGTCTTTAAATCCTGTTTGCATTGAGGATGGTGCATAGCGTTGCTCGACATAGCTTTCATCCAGCACCAGGCTACTGAAATTGTGATTCAGCTCCAGTGCCAAAGTGTGCCAGCTTCCATCGTTGATGCTTCGACCAGAGAATCCAAACCTGTCAGGGCCTTCGCCAACTCCACCTGCAGTAAATCCACAGGCCAGCTGGAAGCAAAGCTTCCCCTCCTCCAACTGTGTCAGGACACATACACACATTATTTTGCAAACTCCTTTTATCCATACTTTTCATGAAAGTATGGATTTTTGGATTCATGAAAGTATAGTTTCCTACATCATGACCTCAGACAAGCTGATTCCGAGTTAGATGCAAGTCAGTTTTTAAAAGAAATTGGCATTGCATTACAAAAATGATAAAATACTGACAACTTGGCAGCCAATTACCAATTACTGCAACTTCAAAAACACAGAATGTTGTACAGTAAATCAAAGAAAATCAGTTTAAACAGTAACTCACAGCAAAACTGATAATAGAAATAGTATGCCGCTTTACTGTAAATATACAAGACAATTTGATACAGAAGTGTACCATTTCTGTAAGTGTTTGTCTTTTTCAAAGGAAAAACAAAAAATGGGTCCTTCAGATTTGAATGAATGTTGTTAAGAGTACTCTAGGTAAACCAAAGATCTGAGAAAATCGCTTAGAAAGGTATTTATCACCACAAGGCCAAACAGATTGCTTGAAAAATGTTTCAGTCTATTTCCACACTGTTAAAAAGAGTTCCTGTCGATCCTAAATTACTCAACATCATCAAACAGCCATTGGTAAAAATGAAGAATGAATTATCCATCCATACTGCTTGTTCATTGTATGACAGGACTGGTTTGACCAATGATTTAATTCAGCCCTGGCAATTGTAATTCTCAAGATTAGTTAAAACTATGGACAGGCGTTTGAAGTAACAGAGTTAAATCTTTGTAACAACCACACAGATTCTGCTGACTTGTGTCAAAAGAAATTAATGAAGCCTGGTGGCTTGATTGAGGCGGCTGGCACCTGTCCAGAGTGTAGTCCAAATCCTAACATTTTCTCTGGTAAATTAGGTACAACTAATTGATTTATTTAAAAATCCCCTTTATTCCTTTGCAAATTTTTTAGACCACCTATTTGGTGAGTGTAAGCAGGGATATCAAGTTAAATTGTCAGATTTAAACAACATTTCCTCAAAAAGCAGAGACTGGCAAACGTTATTATATATGTGTATGTACCTTGAGAATGATGCAGTGCTCGGTCAGTATGTACATGATAATCCCTTGACTCTGCAGTGTCCTGATCCTCAAGGTAAGTTTCATCTCCGCCTGTAGCTGGTCAGACAGTCTGTACTTGATGTAGCTTTTACCTGAGAAAGTCAGAGACAAATGCCCTGTGCCCAGAACAATGCTCAGAGTTAGACTCTAACTTTTTCAATGTCCACATACAGTTACTTCATGATTTCACAGAAAAACACTTCTAACTATCCAAGAAGTGCTTAAAAGTTGTAGCAATTTTTTTCCTTAAGCTTTCCTTTTATTTGGAATTTTTAGCAATACACATTCAGTTTTATTTACCAGAATACAAACTATGTCAATGATAATACATATCCTAGAGCAACTACTACAACTAGCACCATTTTCGATTATATGATCTGATTTAACGCCCTTGTCTATACTGTCCAATCATTACATTTGTTTTCAGATAGTTTCAGAGTTTTCTATACAAATCAAGTTTAGAACAAATCTGTCCAATGAGTATTGAGAGAATATGTTCAAATCTATATGAACATATTGAACATATTGTTATGAGTTAAATTAAACAATAGTGTTCCAATCACACTGTTTGGTGCTTGAAACTGTGTAAGCTAATATAAGTTTATAGCAATATAACATTATTTTGGATAAGTGATTATTTTGGACAGTGATTATTAATATATATATGATGATGACCTGTTACATTTATGCCCCACTTACCTGCACACTCTTGTGTTTTGCCTGGTGGACACTGGCATACAAAGCGTCCTTTGGCGGCCTCCACGGAAACACACTGCATGTTTTCCGGACAGACCTGGTCTTCACACTGTTCTAATAGGACATCACAGCTGGCATCTGTGTGTACATACACAAGGGAAGAATGAAAAGATTTTTTTTTTTACCATGAAAATAAAGTGACAGTGAGACCCAGTATATGTAGATCAGACAAAAAGAGGGGTAAGACAACAATCACTCCAGTCCAATCATATTTTTCTCTCAAATAATTGCTCATGTAAATAAAATGTAAATAAAATGGTAAAAAAACAATTGATTAAAAACTGAGTGCATAGCAGCTTGAAAAAACCATTGTGTATGGTTGTTGTCAACAAAAAATGAATAAGTAACAAACAGAGAGTCAAACGTTGTCAAATGTATATCTTAGCTGATTATTTACACCCCCTCTGCAAAAGGTCTGCCTCCACCCATTTTCAGTCATTAAGGGCTTGATCCCAAACTCTATTAAAAAGAATTATTCAAATATAAAATTCTTTGTTGTAATGTTCACTAGGATTTATCATAAAAAAGAAACTTTTCTGAAAGGTCCAAAATATGTCGTACCATCTGGTTACTGAATTTAGAAGAGGCAGTAGTAGATAAACAACAACTAAGTCTTTCAATTTCAGCAATTTTTGATGCATTGGTTTTTGATGCCCAAGTTGCATGACCGGAAACATTCAAAACACACAGTGCGTGTTCAATAGTTCTATATTTTACACAGGGTTCGCACACTCAAAGATCGGGGCCCATGGCTCTGTTCTGTCAATTAAGTCCTACTAGTGTGAGCTTCTAGTTGGTGGAATTGAGGGTTGTTAACTTCCTTAGGTCACTATATTAACATCTGCAGATATGAAGAGCCTGAAAACTTCAGGTGTTCCAGAAATATCCCATTGGGCTGACAGGGTCAAAAGCCACTTTTGGTTGTGCCATATTTTATTGCTTACTTCCGTGACCTGATGGACGAATGATAGGGAAACATCTTATGATTGAACATTAATTCATCTTGTTATGTCTCAAAACAACTCGTGTCTGTTGTGGATCAGAATATTCACTGTTTACTGGAATCAAACAAGAGTTGGTCTGACATGAAAAAGATAGAAGACACAAGAAATCCCCTCCCAATTTTGACCAATTAATAGCAGTATGTTTGACATGGATTGCAAATCTCTAGAGGTGGTGAGATTTACATTTTTTACACAAGTAGTTGCAAGGCCCACGTTCATTTTTAACAACCACACAGACTTTTCTTGTCAGTCTGCAAGCTGACAATGAAACCATTCACAAATTCCGTGACTCACCACTGCATGCACAGCGTGAGGTTCGGTGGAAGCGAGGCGACACGAAGCTGAACTGTTGGGTGCTGTACATGGCCAGGTTGTGTGAATCCATGATGATGTTCTGTTCGCACGGTGCCCCGCGACACTCCAGGCCGGAACAGTTCTTGTCCAGGATCGCCGACACCCGGAGCACCTCCTCCAGTTTCTGACGGGATGTGCTGAGTTTCTGGGTGAGGTAAGCCGCGTTGTAGTATCCCCCTTCTGCGGTCTCCACGGTGACGAGCATATCCAGTTGTTCGGTCCCGCCGACCGGCTGTAGGCTGAGCAGATGCAACTTGTCCTGCTCTTTAGACTGGGCCACCTCCTGCAACACTTTCAGAACGCTCTTCAGGTGCAGTGACACAAAGTCTTCCGGTGAGACACTCTCGAACCGCACCGTCACTGCGTCGCGCAACATCTCAGTAGTCGCCTGGTCCACCTGTATGGTCACAGGCACAGGGACAACGTAGCGTCCGTCGCTAACGCTGGTATTGAGAAAGTATCTGCCAGTGTCCAATCCCCCGAGCGCGATGATCTTTCCATCATGGAGATTGATCTTAAAAAGGCTGCGCTGGGCCGGCAGGGCATGTCCAAAGGTCAGGGCGTCGTAAGGGTCAGCGTCGGTGGCATGGAGCTGACCTATGACACCGCCGGGAAACTCATCCTCCATCGTAACGACGTGAATCTCCAGTGGCAATACCGACGGGCGATGGAGGCTTTCTTCAATCACTTTGACTGTAAATAGAGTGGAAGAGGACAAAGAAGGCCTTCCAGAGTCTGACACCTAGAGGAGAAGGGATCACAGAGATTACATGAAAAGATGACAGCGATTGGAAAAGCACAAGAAAACAGAATCAATCAGAAAAAAAGAATCAGTTAAGTAACTGTTTTCTAATCCATTTTGATTTTCTTAGGTTTGCTAAGGTATTCACTGAAATATAAAGAGAGAAAGTCCATAAAAACAGCTTTTTATGACTGAACATATATGCACATGGGGAATAATTAGTTGAAAATAGTAGAAAATGTGGAGAAGAGATTTTAAGAACTAATTAGCACTATAGGTCTCAATCTTTAGTATTGACTCATTAGAAACAGCAATTTGGCAGTTCCTTTATAGAAATAGAATTTCCTAAGAATAAAAAATCGCATCCATAATATTAATAGTTATATTCTTTGTTAATGGATTATTTGATAGTGACCCAAATCCAAGCAGCAGCAGTGATGTTCAACGAGAGTGTGACGCTACCTGTATCTGGATCACATATTCATTTGCCAGGTCCCTTCTAAACACTTGATTGGCAACGAGGATTCCATCTTTCCTCAACAGAAATTCCCCGCCTTCGTTTCCAGACAGGATGCTGAAGGAGAAGGGTGGGCCGTTGTGAGGGGAGTCCCGATCGATGACAGAAAACTGGAGGATGCTGGTGCCAATCGGCTTGTTTTCCTGACAAAATGGAAGTCGAAATCAACACAGTAGCATTTGAAAATAGAAAAAATGGAAAACATAAAGCAAATTAAGTTTAAAAGCAGAGCCTAATCACAGTGACAATTCAGGGTTAAGCAAGTCATGTATTTAATCTTTTCAAAACTATTTTCTAAATGTTTCACGCAGAACTCTGGTAAAAGCTAAAAGTTGTCATTGTCATGGACCCTTCACATTTTTATCTTCATTTGTGCATTATCTATTATCAATAAAGTGTGTTTTAATGAAGCCTGATGACTTATTTGGTTTAATGTTTAGATGTCTCTATGTCAAGTAAGCTGTTGTTTGTGATTGTGTGTCTGTATGTGGCCCAGAGATGGACTGCTGGAATATCTTCTCGCCTGTTGGGATAGGCTCCATTCCTCCTTCAACCCCGTTGGGAATACGTGGTACAGAAAGCGGATGGATGGATAGATAGGTCAAGTTAAACTGTTCATGTTCACATACTTCCATGCATAGTCAAGTCTGCATGGTTTTTCATACACCCACTAGAGGGCAATATCTAATTCTTTTTCACATTCCACTGTCAGAAATTAAATGTAACAGTACACTTTACAACATTTTTCCAATCCGGGTTACTTATCATGGTTAAGATATGCCGCCAAGCTGAGGGATACATTTTTCTGTGTAATCATAGAAAGAACAGTAAACATAAGATAAACGGGAAGTAGAGTGGGGGAAACTCTTTGGAAAACACAAAAAACATTTAAATTGTTACATAGAATGACGTACTCCAGAGTAGAATAGAAGAACCTGGTATGTAAAAAACAGGATGAAAAAAACAACATGAAATGGTTCGGATAATGGTTCATAGTAATGCCTCAGGTGGAGACTGAATTCAGAAAAAAAAAGAAAAGGGTAGTAGTGGAGGGTTCACCAGATGAATTGAAAGAGCATGTCCCAAGTTGACACATCGTCAGATTGTCTGTCTATCCATAGTCTCTCTAAACTTGTTTGACTTGTATCTTGAAAAAGGCTAGAGAAAAGCACGCGCATTGATTTCCTGATTCCAAAGGATTATTTCTGGTCATTATATTTATTACTTTGGCTTCAACACAATATTATTTTTGAGAACTTCTGAGACCTAGTTTTGAACCTGTATTTAAAAGTGATTGATGTGATAAAGACAGGAGATGCACAGACTCTTTTATTGTCTAATAAATGAGTTTCTAGGCGCTTTTTCAGCTTGTTAGTCAACTTTAGCTGACAAAGAAAGAACTTGTGCTATAGTCTGCTTACTTGTCCTGTCAGGTAATATTCATAGCACTATAAATATTTAAATTATAGCAATAGGTCAATTACACACAACCTCGACAGACAACAGAAATCAGCAGACCCCAGACACTAGAAAGGTGTGTGTGTCAGCATTTGAAGTTCTAATAAACTCTAAGTGGACCTTTGATAAAGAGCAGTACTTTCTTTATCAAAGGAAAATTCTCATCTTCATCATCTTAAACCAGTTTGTTACTCTACTTGAAGTTATAATTCTTATGTGATGAAATACATTATTTTCCAACTTCATCATTTATAGGTTGTAGTGTGTGATTAGCAGAGGAGGAACATTCTCATTTTTTTTTGCCAATAATACAAAATACAATTTAAATTCAGTTTAAGATTTTGAATAATAAAGAATACAAAGAAAACAAAGAAACCCAATGTCTCAATTATTATGCAAAATTGTATACAGAAATGTCACATACTATGAATAAAAATAAAACAACATGAAGAAAACATGAACTCATGATCTTGAAATAAATAAATATTTCTGATGTACAGTAAAGTATTCAGCCCCCTTAAAAAATTGGACTCTTTCTTCTTTCATTGCAGCCATTTGCTAAAAGTGAAAAAGCTAATTTTATTTCTCATTAATGTACACTCAGCACCCCATCTTGAGAGAAAAAAAGAGATGTAGAACATTTATCAAATAAAAATCACATGATCATAAGTATTCAGACCCTTTTCAGTGATATCATATCATATTTAACTGTCACGCTATTGATTTATTCTTGTCCTTGAGATGGTTTTACTCCAACATTGAAGTCCAGCTGTGTTCAATTAAATTGATTGGCCTTGATTAGGAAAAGCACACACCTGTTTTTACACTGATTTCTAATTTGGCTTTTAAAATCATTGTACATGTCTAGAGGGACGATAAAAGCATTGTATTCTATTCTGTTCGAGTCAACCGATTAAGTATCTTTTAAAATTGACAGTTGGATTTATTTGATATTTAATCAGTTACTGTTGTGATGAATAGAGAAATAAATAAAACATGAATGGCCCTGCAATGGACTGGCGACCTGTCGAGAGTGTACGTCACATCTCTCCAGCCATCCTGCGACCCTTCCAGGAATATGCGGTATGGATAATGGATGAATGTATAAAACATAAAATTATCTTTAGCTGTGTTGTAAACAGTCAGTAAAAAATATTTCTGTTAACTTATAGAACTCGGAATGTATCATCTATTTTCACAGTTTTATTTTAGCAAAGTCAAGTATTACAGCCAGCCCAACAAAGAACTCTTTACCTGTATCACAGTGTAGGTATTGGCAGCAGAGAAGATGGGTGGGTTATCGTTGATGTCAGAGATTTCTATGTGGACTCTTACGGTGGAGGACATTGGTGGGATCCCAGTATCCATAGCTCTGACAACCAGAAAGTAGATGGGCATCTAGAGGACAATCCCAAAGACAGATACAGATGGAATGACAACATGTTTCAACCACACTATAAACTAAAAAAGTGGTGTTGACTATTCCCTTTGTGCTGAAATAAAACTACAGCCAGAAATATTCCCACTATATTTCCAATATATATACTTGGGGACCACAGTTATGTATAAATTGTACATCATCACATGTTGTATCAAAGTATACTGTCTTTATTTTGTTAAATCAATACTTTAAAATTGTGAAAATACAAACAAAATTGATGTGATCAACAACACCGTCTCAATGTGTATTTCACAAAAACTAAGTATGTGAAACGTAAGTACTCCTTATCAGCTTGATTCAATTTCAATAGGTGTATTTAATAAGTAGAAGTTAGCAGTGCAGTTATCAAAATGTAAAATCTAAGAATGTAAACTTAGTTGTCTTGTAGGCAGAAAAACAAAGGAAACTGACTCTTTCCAGAAAAACGATTCAAGAGATTTCAAACACTAGGGGTGACTTTACACTGAGAACCTAGCTGTGTATTACACTGACAGATGTTACTGTGGTTCAGAAACCAAATGTACAAGTGTAGTAAGTGTATAATTCAGTAAGCCAGAGACACTCCACGCAACAAAGGGATTTTTTTTTTTCTGGTAATTAATTGTAACTCTGGAATATATGTTACTCCCTGTGGACAGTGAAGTTTTTTTCTCATAGCAACAGTGGAATGATGAAGAATAAAATCTCTGGTGTTCTTTATATGATTGTAAGGAATTCTATCACATTGAGTGTAACGAGGCACATCATGTGCATGGGTGTTTTTGTGTTGTCTTACTGTCTCACGGTCTAGTTGCTTGCTGACTTTAATGACACCACTTTCCGGTTCGATGAGAAACTGGTTGTGCTGATCTCCGCCGACAATAGCGTAGAGAATGGCTCCGTTCATGTGACTGTCAGCATCCTCTGCTATCAACTGTAAAAACACACAAGCAGTCAGCGTGTGAGAGTGTTGCAAATTACAAGGCGGAGTCTCTGAGAAGTAGTGATAGACAGAGTGCACAAAAATGTACAGGAAAAAATAACGATTTGCGAGTGCGTCATTTTAACAAAAGTGACAATGTTGTTACAGGAAATAAATGAACACACTGGGCAATATATCACCAGAAGCTGTCACATTCTGTGGTGGATGCTCGTACTACCGCCCCATTTACAATCCAGCTGGAGGTGGAAGCCTTGGAACACATCATTGTTCCACAGACTGAGGGAGGGGGAACGTTATTTTTTAAGCTGACCTAAGTTATTTAGTTATTTTTATATATTCTTATCTATATTAAGTTACATATGATTTTGCTTTTATTTGTTATGTTTTGTGTTTTTTTGTACTTTTATTATGTTCTTCCCTCATGTGGGAAGTTTAGGGCAGTCCACCCCAATTTAAGATGCCTTTGCTCCGTGTCTGGAGGTCAGTTTAGCTAGTTGAGTTATTTATTATCTAAGTTATATGGTATTAAGTTTGACCTTCTGTTCACAATATTTATATTATTAAATTGATATTTTTCTCATTTTTGACCTTGTTAAGTCTAGTCCCTCACACATTCATTCTATAAAAGTGCACCACCGACATTAAACATTTTAACATATTTGTGAATTTAACTACTTAGAACAGTTTACGGCAGGGGTGTCAAACTACAGTCATGTAGGGCTGTTGTCCTACAAGTTTACCTGATTCAAATCAATGTGCCATCAACAGTACTGTGCATAGCTGATCAAGAATATCCAATTTATTCAGAATCAGATGTGCAGAAGCAGGAAAATGTTTAAAACCTGCAGGGCAGCGGCCCTCAAGGACCGGGGTTTGACACCCCTGGTCTACAGCAAAGTTACATGGGACGGGAAGCCTTTAGAAAGGGAAGATGTAAATGAGAAGTTAAATTCTCTTTTCCATATTTTTCTACTGAGTAAGTAATACATCAAATGCCAGTTAGTCTCGGCTCCTGGAGACACAGGTCACTGAAACAAAAATCTGGTATTTCTACCATATATTCTACAACTCTTCCTATCTTATGTGGAAGCAGGGGTTATGTTAGAGGTTCTAATTCATCAGTTGTCCCGAACACAGACATTTCTGAACATTCTTATACACTTTCACAGCCTGATATACTGCACGTCAACCAGTAATGAATCGAGTAGTAATGAAAATGGTCACAGGAGAAACCAGAGCTAGATCATATTCAATTAAAGCTGTGAAGTGAAGCGAGAACTGTTTTGATATTGCCACTGGGAGCATATGAGTAAAATGTTTCAAAGAGAAATGATTAATGATGACATGTAAAGATAACACTTCCTTTTCTCATAACTTGTTCACAGGTTGATTTCCTGAACCTGATAATGTGCACACATCAGTTGAAGCATGTGGGGGTCATTCAGTGCACGTATAGAAATGGAAAGCAAGGAGAATACTTGAGAGATTTGATAAAAAACCTCAATAGAGTCGATATGAAAATCAGGCCTAGTATGTCCAGAAGTATGTCAGGAAAGATCTTAGGTAGGTGGTACCAGGCAGACTTGAACAATAGAAAACAGGTTTGGAGAAAATAGATAAATCAGGGCTTCCAGGACAGTTGAAGCTGTGGTGTCTGCATTTTGGATGGTTTCCAAGGTTGATGTGGCCACTGTCTAAGTATGAAATTCCATTATCTGCTGCAGAGCAAATGAAATGGAAGTTAGCTCTTACATTTGGAAGGATTAGGAGAGGTAATAGTAGCTGGGGGCCCAGTAGCAGGAGCACTTAGACTTAAACCTTAGGTGAGTTGGCTTTTTTCTGTTCTTATTCTCTGCGACTGTGGGTCTGTTTAGTTCTTGTAGTAGGCCATTTAGATATATATTTAGCATCGGTAGCCTCAAGCTGGATTTGGTTTGTGTTTTGTTTTGTCTGCTGTTTGGATGACTTTGTTTCCCGAGGCTGCTATTGTGTGTTGTCCTGTCTCCAGCTCCTGCACCCTGTATCTTTCATTAATCCCTATCCAAACCAGGGTTTGAATCTGGTCTTTTATCCTTATTCTTTTTACCCCCTACCCAAATCAGGGTTGATCAGGTTTTAAGCTCTCAACAAAGTGATGTTTAACCTGATATTTACTCCAAATGCAACTATGAATGTCAGCCCACATTAGGTTTTGACGGTACGAAGATGCGCAAAGATGAAGTTTGTTGTGATTTGAAATTGATTAAACTATTCCAACTCACCTGTATTACAAACTCTCCAATAGCAGCGTCTTCGGCCGCCACTGCAGTGTAAAGATCATGATTAAACACGGGTGCGTTGTCATTGACATCCGTTAGGTTCACGTTCACTGTAGTAATGGCCTTCAAAGTTGGCGTGCCACCGTCACGAGCTTCCACTGTTAGGAAATACGCAGTGCAGGTTTCATAGTCCAGAGGTTTGACAACTAAAATGCCACCTAAGGAAGTGTGAAGAGAGAGAGATAGTGAGCAGAATTACATTATATTCTTAATCAGTTTAATATATTTTTGTCAAATTTTTTACTTCAAGGAATTCAAATCAGTTGTTTATATCTTTTAACACAATCATATTGTGTAATAATCATGGATTTTCCTAAAATAACTTTTTAAAAAACATTTTTAGTGTGTTGGTTGTTACTACATCACAAAGGTAGAAGCCTGTTGCATTTAATTTATCTTCATTATGTGTTTCCTTTGCAAATTCTACTTAGAATATCTTCGGATTGCCCCCCCTGCTGAGATTTTCTGGGCATAAACCAATGGCAGGATGCCTTGGGGAAGACCCAAAACTCACTTCTTGCCTGGGAATACCTTCTAATCAACAATGAACAACTAAAGAGAGTCACTCGGGAGAGGAAAGTCTGTGAAGATTGCCTTAATTAAGCTACCTTGGATAAGTTTACATCAATGAGTTTATGGTGAGTTACTCATTTCCAAAAATTGTAAATAGTGTTTATGGAAGTTATCTTTAGTCCATCCGTCCAAGTGTTGAAAACATTTAGAGTTTGGCTACTGATATATGTAATTATTGATTGAAATAAACTTTTTTTCCCCATTAATTGCTGCTTTGTTTAGCACTGCTTGCCAGAGACTGATGCATCTGCTTCTAGGATAATACAGGTGAAATCTTTCAAAGTATAACATAAACATTCCCGTACTACCATCTTTCCTTCACCGTGAAATATCCAGGATTACACCTGTTGGGAATCCACAGTTTTGCTTTTACAGCTGCCTCTACTATCTTCATTGTTTATAGCATCATAAAATGAAGATTGAGTGTTTTTAGTATGCCAGATGCTCCTGCTGCCATGTCTCAGTGCAGTAGCTTCTGTCCTTCACAACTTCTAAAACATAACAAAAAATTCAGGTGTAAGTGTAGGTCTCAGACATATAAATAAATCAGACCTACACTTACACCTGAATTTGTGCCTGTGGTGTTTGAGGGGAGGATCTGTCTTTACCTTGAATTTGCATATGACTTTCGAACTGGCTACACAAATGTATTCTCTGTCAACTTTTGGGTAATAAAATCACAAGGATGCCTATGGTTCAGGTCTCATAAGTTGCTTATAAGGTACTATTATGAGAAAAAAACCTTTACTAATCTGTGATGTATAAAATATTTCTCTTTTATCTTATTCAGAAGGAGAACGGTAATTTGATAAAGTCCCCTTATTTTTAATGAAAATTTTGCTACCTGTGTCTGAAAACAAAATCCAATGGTAAAAAATGCAGTTTAGAGCCAGTGAAGTCTTACCCAAGAGTATTACAGCCGAACATGCACCTGACAGGGCTCAAATGGGGTCCACAGTTCATTGTCTCAAGGGTTTTCACAGTAAAAGCAGCACTCAAAAACACTCACCCGTTACAGGATGGATGTGGAACTTTCCGTGCTCATTGCCTGATCTGATGGTGTAAGTTATCTCCGCATTGGTCCCGATGTCTTTACTGGTGGCGTAGACTCTCAGGATCTCACTGCCTAGTTGCACATCCTCCGGGACTGTTGTCATCTGATCATGGTGCTCAAAGACGGGCGGATTGTCATTTATGTCCAACACAACAATTGTGACGTTGACCAGCGAGTAGAAGGGCTGCGGTGAACCCTGATCAGATGCACAAACTGTTATCTGATGGGTTGACTGGACCTCACGGTCAAGAATTTGCTCAAGGACCACAATGCCTGAGGATTCCTGAATAGAGAATAATCCTCCAGCAGAGTCAGCCAGGGAATAAATCACCATCCGACCGGGACCTGTTTCATTGGCAGAGGAGGATAATTACATGCACATTAGTTGTTTAAAGATCTCAGTATACATACTTGTTAGATCAACATAATTAATCTTTATGACAAACAGTCTTTCTTAAAACAATCTGGCATCTACAGCCTTGTAATTTTCAAAAGTAGCAGGGAGATTAGAATGTAGACAGAGGCAGAGACAGAGACATTTTTCATTCTATTTTCTTTCATTCATCACATGCCTGCACCTTTTATGTTCTTGTTTTCTCAGTTTGGGTTGACTGTAGGCTGGATATTTCAATGAATTTGTTTTTATGTGCCCAATATAATTTGCCATATGTTAAAGGTCTTAAAGCACACTTTTCCATATTTTCTGACTTTACTGCAGTATTTCGGCCATCCATCCTTTATCGTTACAACTTATCCCATAATTGGGTTGCGGGGAGAACTGGAGCCTATCCAGCCTATGCAGTGGTCAATCGGCGTGAGGCGGGGTACACCCTGGACAGTCCGCTAGTGCATATTCCCTGTCAATTTAATTATGTCACTTTGAACTTAAAAATTTGAACTTAAAAAAACAATATGAACGCTTCAATGAGTTTATGCAGAGGACACTTTATCTTAATCCTATAGAATTCTTATTCATTAACAATTTCTTTCTTTTTACCATAACCTTTATCATGTCACTCTCTGTGAGTGAACGGTATCATTTTTGCAATTCTCTTAACCATGCACAACCATGAAACGTTAAAACGTGTATGAGCATCTTCTTTAAGTTTAAGTAATCATGATGCAAGGAGATGACAAGCGCTTTTCAGGGCAAGTAATTTACCAGCAGGAGAACATTTTAGATTGAGTCACTGTTCTATACTTGTTGCTGTTTTATGAAAAAGTGCTATTGTGAGTCAGGCTTTGCAAACAGACTAAAGCTTTAAGTTGTAGCTGTACCAATGACCAAAGGGCCATGACATTAACCACAAGCATGTACTTAATCATGGAAGTGCTCCCATTGCTGACAACTCTCAATTTTCTCAATTGGAAAAGTACATATTCATCCATCCAGACACTACAGACCGGTCCTTCGGTTCTTATGAATGAACCAAGCTCAAAGCATTTTGATTTTTAAGTGTGCACAGCTATTCTTGAGATACAATAGCCTTTGGGTAACATAAACTAGTTTTTCAGCCTTACTTAACAGCCGTACCTAACAAAGTTCCTTTTAAATAGCCGCACTTTCACATGTTTTTCAATATACTTTATATGTGAATAAGGATAAGATTTTTTTTAATTAAAAAAAATATTTTAAAGAAAACATAGAATAAGGATGATTTCAATGCTAAAGAGCACTGATGCTAGTGTCATCCTCACCTTCATCAGGATCTATGGCCTGAATGCGAGTGAGAAGCGCCTTGGTGGCCGTATTTTCGTAGACACTGGCGGTGTATTGAGACAAAGTGAAAACGGGTGGGTTGTCATTCACATCAGCCACTGCCACATGCACCTCAGCACGGCACCACCGTCCACCACCATCCGTTGCTTGGGCAACCAGTCGGTAAGCAGGTGTTACTTCATAGTCCAGAGGTGTGGATGACTTGATTTCACCTGGTTGGGTAAGAAACCAGTAACGGAACACATTAGGGACACATAGACCATATGCCCTATAAACTCTTAATGTGAAAGTAATTAAATAAGATGTATACTAGATCTAATTTCCTCCGGAATTATATTGTTGATTGAATTAAATTGATCAGATCAATTGTTATGCAGGTTTAGTGCAAACAAACTTGTAGGCATGTTTTCAAAGCTGTACCATGTCCATACCAGTATCAGGATCTATACTGAAATCCTCAGATCCAGGGCCAAGAAGTGAATACTGGATCTGACCGTTGATGCCAACATCTGCATCTGTAGCTTCAACCCTCAGCAGCGTGCTGTTGATTGGAAGGTCCTCTTTAATGTTAGCAGTGTATATTGCCTTCGAACAAACACATTGAGTACAAAAAGACAGCAGGTTTTTAGTAGCAATCATTACTACAGCAAAATTACCAAAAGGTAAATCTCTTTTACACTATTTTTCTTTGGTTGAATTCAAAACAATGTTAAGCCATTCAATAACAACCTGGTCACAAATGGGGGTGTTGTCATTGGTGTCTGTCACTGTCACTTCCACAGCTGTCTGAGAAATAAAGAGTCCATCGCTAGCAGTTATGTTGATGATGTAGAAGCTGCAATCCTCCCTATCCAGCGGACTCTTCACGTACATCTTCCATTCACCTTGAACTAGACCCAGCGCAAATACGCCTCGATAATTCCCATCTAAACAGAATATAGACAGACAGAAAGGAGACATGCAATTTCTGACAAGTAGACGTTTTTATGCAAACATCACAAACATATTGCCTGTGAAGAAAAATGTCAAAATAAATCGAAAAAACAAAATATTTTTTAAGCAAATACTGGCATTTTAGATTTTCTGTTTTTACAAATGTTTTACCATTAGTGCTTTGTGAATTAATAAATTGTCAGTTCACCTTTTGTACAACATCTATGTCTAACAATACACTATAATCCCTGGCTTGACCTACTAAACTTGCTAATACATGATTTACAAGGTCTAAAGTCCATCAGACCAAGCAGAATTCAAATTTGAGAAAGACAGAAAGCAGTTATATTTCCATGCTCCAAAACACATCACAATGGGTGTGTAAGCACATGATAAGACTCTACAGCCATGACTAGAACCAAATACAAATCATTCAGCCTGAGCATAGAGGGTTAAAAACAAGAACAGTATTCATAATTTTCTAAATTAATTCAAGACTTCTTGTGAATGTTTTGGCTAAAAGACTATTTTTACAGTAGATTAAAAAAATATATGTGGACAGTATTATTAATATTATTAATATCATTATAATGTCAGGAGCATTAACAAGACATCAGTGGTAGACATATATAATAATCTCAAGAGACCAAATAAATGATCATTTTTTTGTTAGCAGTCATCACATTTGGAATAACAAAATGTTATTTCAATAACCCTTTTAACTTCTATTTTTTTAATAATGTGTTGTTGACTGATAACATTTTTAGTTGGAATCCAACTGACACATCAGTATGATACCACATACACTGACAGTAATGACAGATATTTATACTCACCAGTGATGTGGTAGGTGACGTGACTGTTAATAGCAGAGAAGTCATCATCCCTGGCTTTCAGTACAGCCACAACCTCCCCTGGGGGGTCACTCTCCTTAACCGAACTAAAGTAGAGATTTTCCATGAACCTGGGGGGGTTGTCATTGATGTCTGACACTGTCACTGTCACAGTGGTGGTACTAGAGAGAGACTGGATCTCTCCAAGGTCTGAGGCCACCACTGTAAACATGTAGAGTGGATTGGTTTCATGGTCAAGGTCCTTGCACGTGGAGATCCATCCAGTGTTACTGTCAATGCTGAAGGTTGCCATCAATGTGCTTGAGTTACTCTCTGACTGGATTAATGCCCCAAGTCTGTATTTTACCTGACCATTGAGCCCTGAGTCTGGGTCATGTGCTTGGACTTGAGTGACTTTGGTTCCAACAGCCATTCCCTCTATCACAGTAGTAAAATAAGAGTTGGCATCAAAAACTGGTTCGTTGTCATTCAGGTCCAAAACGTTAACTTCAACATCAACAGAAGTAATAGAATTTAGTTCCATCTGTCCGGCTATGGCAGTGACTTTGAAGTGAAACCGTTGAATCGCCTCATGGTCCAAGGCCTTATCAAGTTTGATCACTCCTGTATAATCATCCACCAGAAAAACCCCATCTTGGTTGTTTTCACCAGTGTTTCCACATACCATTGAAAAGGTAGTTGAGTATGACGTATATTCTGGTGGAATTCTGAGGCGAACCATTCCAATGACAGAACCTATGGGTGTATTCTCTGGTACTCTAAATGAGTAATGATTTTGTCTAAAGGAAGGAATATATACATCCGAAGAGAGAATATTGATGTGGACAGGCACTAAAGAATGCCGCACTGGAGTTCCCCCATCCATGGCCTTTACAAAAAAAGATAATACAGAGTTCTTTAAGTGACTCAAGGTGCCTTTTGTCACAATCCAACCAGTCTCTGGGTGTATCTCCAAAATGTCTGCCACAGACGCTTGAGCCTCACAACATATAGAAAATATCACTTTTGCATTAGTGCCATCGTCGGGATCATAGGCCCGAATCTGGGTCACCAAGAAGCCCTTAGTCACATCATGTTGTAGTGAGGCTCGGTACTCTGTGGCACTGAAGTGAGGTGCATTATCATTGTCGTCTGAGAGATGAAGTTGCACTGTACAATAAGAAAAACGTCCACCTGAATCTTGAGCTGCCACGGTAAGAACAATGTCTTTATTGGCTGGATCCTCACGGTCCAGCTTTTCCAACGTGCTGATATAACCAGTTGCATCAATACTAAATTTGTCATTGCTTACGTCGTTGATAAAGAAATAAGATATTTGGCCAAATACTCCAGGGTCTGCGTCTGTTGCCTTCACCTGCAATATAGATAAAAAAATCTTTATCAATAGAAATACATAATTCAGAAATTAACTATCTATGCTTAGTCGAAGAGTTTTATTGAATATTAAAAGCACTTACCTGTATTACTTTGATTCCAACGGCAGCATTCTCTCGTAACTCCGCCTCATAAATGTCCTTCTCAAACACTGGACTGTGCAGATTGGCCCCCAAAACCTTGACATGCACTTGTGCAGTGCTGGTGAACACTCCATCGGACACTGAAACATTAAGGCTGTAAGCAGGCTCCATTCTTTGCCTACGGTAGCCAGATAGGGTGATTATCCCTGTATTTTTTTTCATCACAAAATGCATTCTTTCGTTTCCTGACAAAATGCTGTATTCCAAATTGTCCAAATCTGAACTGTCAGCATCTGAAGCCTGGACACAGGTTATAAAGTGACCCCTGGGTGCCAACTCACTCACATATGCCTCATAGAGCAGTTGGTTAAAGATTGGGGGATTGTCATTTATATCATTCAACATGACAGTCACTAAAACTTCACTACTCAGTGCAGGGAAACCGTTATCGGTGGCTCTGACAATAAAGTCATAATTCTGGGCCAGCTCATGGTCTAATACACGTGCTGTCAGAATTAATCCGCTACTACTGTCAATGTGAAAATAGTCTGTGCTGTTATAAACATGTGAGAATATCTGGTAGTGAACAACATTGTTTCTGTCTGAGTCTCGGTCTGTGGCAGTGACTTGAAGCACTGCTGTTCCAATGATAGTTGCTTCGGACAAAACCACAATGTAGGGCATCTTAAAGACAGGGGGGTTATCATTTACATCCTGGACCAACACATCTACATCCACCTCAGCATGGGCACCAGTTAAGCAGTCTGTGGCTCGTATGGTAAGGTGGTAAGATGATGTAGCTTCATAGTCCAAAGAGTGGACGACCGTTATGACTCCAGTATCAAAACCAATATCAAACTGAAGATGTGGATCCCCTTCAACAATAGTATAGATTATGTTTTGATTTTCAGGACTGCTGGCATTGATGCAGATGATTGGTGTCAGCACATCCACATCCTCATTAACAGAAACAGAATAAAATGATTTACCAAAGACAGGCATGGCTTTGTTAACAACAGTGATGGGAAACTCCACAGTAGATGAGAGGGGTTGATAACCACCATCTTCTGCAAGTATAACAATCATGTATTCCGCACTGGACAAGTCAGAGTCAAATGACCTCTTGAGGCTAAGACTTCCTGTTTGCTGATTAATGTCAAAGTGATCATGATCGTGCTTTAGATGGTAAGACACCATTCCGTTGACACCTTTGTCCCCATCCACAGCAAGGACCTTGAAAATGTTGGATCCCGGTTTAGCATCTACTTGAACGGCAGCATAATAAGGGAGTCCCAGAAAAACGGGCGCATTGTCATTTATGTCCTCGACTTGAACTTTCACCATAGCCCTTGCCACACGAAGATGATCCTGCTCCCTTTTTGCTTCAACGATCAGTTCATACATTTCTCGTTCTTCTCGATCAAAGGGTATGCCTGTAGTCTGGATTACACCAGATGTTGGACGAATCCTGAAATGCGTGCCCGCATTCAGCAGCGTGTACTCAAGTGGCTCATTGAGATGATTTCCAACAGCAGTAACCACAGCCACTTCGGTGATATTCGATACGTTCTCAATTACGGAGGAGAGATAAACGTTGTGGGTAAAGCTGAGGTCAGAGTCCTGAGCTTCGTGGATAAGTATTGTTACTAAGGCAGTGCTGGAGAATTTCCCATCTGAAACACTGACTCTGAAGTGAAAACGTTCTTGGGCGAAGGTGCTGTTTGTCACAAAAACAATTCCACTCAGGGGATTAATGGCAAAGTTCTCTAAAACACCATCACTCAGAAAGTATGTGAGCTCTGTCGGGACACATTTGTCAGGGTCCATTGCTGACACCTGCAATGCTTCAACTCCTACATAGGTAGGAAGTAGCAAGACTGTTTCATAGGCATTCTGTGAGAAGAAAGGTGGTGAATCGTTTGAATCAGTCACTTTTATCGTGACCTCAGTTGGTCTGTCGGCCGTCAACTGTGGTATTCCTTTGTCCCTCACATGAACGTGGAAATGGAAGGTGGAAAATGTTTCATGATCTAGATCAGCAATAGTTCGAATGGAGCCAGTTCCTAAATCCACAGTGAAGAACGATTTTGCGGTGTCCTCAACAATCTCATAGATCAAAACAGCATTTTGGTTGTGGTCAGCATCAGTGGCCCTGATAACTAGAGGTAAATTATCAGAGTTCAAGACCACACTGTTGACTGGAGCACTTTCACTGATACTGCCATGATAAAAGGTCTGCTGGAACACTGGTGGATTATCATTCTCATCTTTTATATGGATTAACACAGTAGCACTAGAGGTCATACCAGCCATGTTAGTAGCTTGGACTATCAGGGTGTAAGATGTAGTGGTCTCATAATCCAGAGGCTTTTGAGTAGTTATGACTCCGCTATATTGATTTATTCTGAAAATGCGTTCATGATTGCCCATCTTAATGTCATAAGTAAGTGTAGACTGACTAACCGCATTAAGTGTGGTGACATAGGTGCCAACCATTGCCTTCTCTGTGATTTCAGTTTGATACTCAGGCTGACGGAACTTTGGACCAGCATTGTCAGATAAAGTGACAGCTATGCACACAATTGTGGTGGTGGACAATGGAGGGGCGCCATGGTCAGTGACTCGCACTGTAACAACATAGTGTCCAATGCTGGACAAGTCCAGATGATTTGCTACAGTGATGATACCCAAAACTGGCTCAATTTGGAAAGCATTTCCAATGTTCCCTGTTGGAAAGTTAGGAGAAAAATCATGAAAAATTTGTATTACAACCTAAAAAATTGGAGTCATTAAATAAATAGGTGTACATATTAACATTTCTGAAGAGCATACCTGCTTCAATCGAATAGTGTAACTCTGCATTTTCGCCTTTGTCTTTGTCCAGGGCAGCAACCTGGACCACAGCCGATCCCACTGCTGCTGACTCATAGACTGAGCCTTTATACAAAGCACGGGTAAAGATGGGTACGTGGTCATTAACATCTTCCACTTCTACTAGTACACGAGCCACATTTGTTCTGTAGGAGGACTCTTGGTCTTTCACCTGTAGACACACATGTGAAAATAAATAAAAAACTACATGAAATAGCTACAAAAAAGGACAGACCAGTACTACTATTGTAACAACTGTTGGAATGCACTATCAATGTGCCGAAATAGCTCAGTTGGGAGAGCGTTAGACTGAAGATCTGAAGGTCCCTGGTTCGATCCCGGGTTTCGGCAGGGATTTTTACCAAATTTCTCTTTGGGGACTGATAAAGTT